GCCGTGACATTATATTATTCAAAGCCAAGTTAAACCCAGCTTTGTCTCTCAGTAATTTGTGTCTGCTTTTTACAAGGGTCGTGGGGTAGCCTAGCGGTTAAAGCGTTCGCTCGTCACGCCGAAGACCCGGGTTCTATTCCCCACATGTTTACAATATGTGAAGTCCATTTCTGGTGTTCCCACCAGCTAGAATATTGCTAAAAGCGGCGTAAAACTAAACCTCATTGTTTTTAACGAGTTTAAGAATTCACAATGTCATCCTCACAGTCAAGTTTGAGAATGCGTATGAAGAGGGGAAATGTTCGTGAGCTATCCCCTCGTGTATCATTTAGAAATCCACTTAACACCATGGAGTTGACTCTCGCTCTGTAACATGACACGGTACTTTCGTATGTGAAATAATACATTAGTAATTGGCAATTCTCTCTCCTCAACACATAGCCTGGTATGAATCGGATGTGAACAGCATCCCCCATCCACACAACCTGTCTGTTATCTCACTTCCGTACATTCAACTATGGACGTAAAGGTCACAGGTCAGGGACAGTAAAGTGCATCACACTTACGTCTCGATGATAATAGATAGATAGATGTATGTGATAAATCTGATAAACTCCATTGTTTCCTGGAGTTCAGAATTTTGGTAAATGTGATTTAAGGCGTGAGGCGTGGATTGAATGCTGTGGGTACGTCAGTGCCAGTCCATCTATGCTACCGGACAAAAGAAAGTTACACCAATGTTTGATGGTGGTTACAAATAAAAGAGGCAAGAAAGGTTATTCGATGGTGATTTAATTAGTTCGAGCAACATAGTTGTGTGTTTCACTTTCATGAATTTCAGTCGAATGACGTTTGATAACTTTTGTAATTTTTATGTTAAATCAATGTTTAAGTGCATGCTTACGTTTGTGTGGAATTAATGTGCTACTTCAGAATCAATTATCATAAAAGTAGTGAATATATTAGGTTACTGATATGTCTACCTGCACGTATTCAACTGACATTTTAGCATGGTCATCATCGCCTTGTGGACTTTTTTACGTTTTAAGCAAAATGTTAGCAATAAATAGGCGCATGGCACCAGAAAGGTTGGTTGGTTGGTTGTTTACGCTGCACTCAGCGATATTGTAGCTATATGTTAATAATCGAGTCTGGACCAGACAGTCCAATTATCAACAGCATAAGCATCGATCTACGCAGTTGGGACACGATGACATGTGTCAACCAAGTCAGCGAGTCTGACCACCCGATCCCGACAATCGGCTCTTACGGCAAGCATGGGTTGCTGAAGATCAATTCTAACCCGGATCACAGGGTATCCCTGAAAGGGACGACACACGTTTTACTCATGTGGGGAATCGAACCCGGACTTTCGACCTGACGAGTGAACTTTATAACCACCAGGCTACCCCAACTGTCTGCCACGTGGAGAAATCTGAGATAAAATGTAGAGATAATGACAACAATGATAATTAACATTGCAGTATTAGAAGTATCATCAAAGATAAATGTAACCTCGATAGTGTTCTTGTTTTTGTTCTTAGGAGTCGGGAAGTTTACTGTAGTTTATCGGTAGGAAGACTGACTTGATTGATTTGCTGAAGTTTCAAGACTATTTGAAAGTACTTATTCACATCATCATCGCTGCTGCTGTCATCATCATCATCATCATAATCGTCGTCGTCGTGATAATGATGACGCTAGCAGCAGCAACAATTATAATGATAATAATAATAACCAAGTTGCCGCTTCCAATCAAAACACGTTCTGCCAGGTCATACGGACATGACAGCAACACGTTTTGTCCCTATCAAATAAACTTACTTGGTATTTTCCCTATTGTACACGTGATAGTATATCTTTATTGCACCCCAGTGCAGCAGAATCCTTGCTCGTTGTGTTGATATCAGTTTATGCGGAAATACTACACCGTGACATCACTATGTAAACACATGCACTCATTGATAAACACACGTACCAGACAAGGTAATAATTTCATGTACGATATTATTCAATATTTATTTTCAAATTTGACAAATCTGAAATATTGTGACTGTTCTGGTGTGTATTCCATGTATGCTGGAGGTATGTTAATCCGTCAATCACGGAACTTGACAATAATTATCCGTAGGTCGACATACTAGTCGCCATCACCCATGCTGAACCCTTCGTCATGGCTTAAATAAGGGCTGACGCAGGCAGGCATCTAGTGTGTTGTTGGAAGTAGGTCAGTGGGTCTCGTATATTACTTATATAACCACATACAGCAATGCGTTGTTATTCTCTCTAAAATGGTTATATCAATGCTTGTAATTGTATTTAACCCATGTAACGTTAAAATAACATTCATTATTCATGTTTCGAGTAAACTGATGTATTTATCGTGCGAAATACTTTACATCAGCCAATTTTCGAAATTTTAATATGTTTTCAATGTGTTTCTCACCTGAGTGGGTTTTTATAGAGTTTTAATGTCCATGTCGATGACTCATTGTAGTTGATAGGATCTGCTCATGTGAACAGGGCTAAAATGTAAAATCAATTGACAATCGATTACACAACCGTGAATGTTTGCGCTATGGTAACAAGAGTTATCTCCCTTTGATCGTAGTTATCCTTCTACACTCCCACAACAGATACATTTTATATCGCAGCACATATTTCAGATTTGCCGGTATCAACCTATTGTCACGAAAAGTAAGATATTCTGACTTATCTTAGAAAGTAAGGCACGAAATTGTATATAGCTGACACGATTGTCTCCTTACAATCAACATGACTCATGTCTATATACTAACTCGGAGTCATCAATGGTCATACGAGGTGTGTTTACAACTAGTTAAGGAGGTTGTGTTGTTGCACGGCAGTATTACATGCATCTCAGGTATGGCCGAGTTGATCGTCGTTGATGTTGCTAACGGTTGTCGTTACTCTGGACACCTAGGCCAGTCCAGGTAATTGCCCTGTCTCTTCACCAACATTAATGCCCTTTCCTCAGTTTCATTTATTTCAAAGGATTGGAAAGGCCCTTTTCGACCACTGGAAACGTCGAACTTACAACTTGCAAGAAACTTTCAAATATTGGTATTGCAATTATTACGAACGTTGAAATGACTGCCGTTTTTTCGGAATATTGGCAGCCGGTTTTTCGGAATTTTGGCATCATCAAATTCATAATTATGATTACATTATGACTGCCGATTTTAAGCTTGATTTTAGGACTAGTAGGCTTATGTTATAGCCTGTTTGACGTCACGCGTCGTAAACACCGCTAGACTATTAAAGCTGAAGCTTCACATACTTGTTGGGCGGTGGGGTAGCCTAATGGTTAAAGCGTTGGCTCGTCACGCTGCAGACCCGGGTTCGAATCCCCACATGGGTACAATGTGTGAAGCCCATTTCTGGTGTCCCCCGCCGCGATGTTGCTGGAATATTGCTGAAAGCGGCGTAAAACCAAACTCAGTCAGTCAGTCACATACTTGTGACCCTTGAAGATCCGTGTTAGAATTGGTTTTCAGTATTGTATGCTTGTCGTAAAAGGCGACTAACAGGATCGGGTGGTCATGCTCGCTGACGTGGTTGACACATGTCATCATATCCCAATTGCGTAGAGCGATGCTCTTGCTGTTGATTACTGGCATGTCTGGTCCAGACGCGATTATTTACAGACCGCCGTCATATATCTGGAATATTCCTGAATGCGCCGTAAAACTATATTCACTCACTCACATACTTGTTTCCAATGGTGACAACCTAAATCAAGTTTCGAATCCGAATTTCAATATGGCCGCCATGACAACCATCCCAAAACGCCTCTGTAAACGTCTTCTCCTCTGAAATTGGCTCAACTTATGTATGTTACTTCTTATGATGACATCATCTGTTTGTACAGAACATTTTACCAATTTCTAGATGGCACTGTGTATTTATAGTTTTCGACCGCGGGAGCCGTGCCAATTCACACTTATCAGAGGGGTACACAAAGTCCGTAGTCTGGACTACCAGTTGTCCGACCTTCATTTTTTTGGAAGCCGCGGTTATGCGGCTGACTTTGTTTGCTTGCGATTAGATGCCTGGTTCTGAGGGTGTGGGTTCGAATCCCGGATGGGACCCAACGCAACAAAAGTGTTAGAATCTGTACCTTACTGAGAAAGAGTAATCCCAAATATAAAATATGTTACATAGTGCGGACTAATGACTATATATTGACGATAACATATCCAGGTGAGCTACAATACCCTGTTACTCTTGTCAAAACTTCAAATGTAAGTATGATAACGCGAGTGACCAAATGGGAAGTTTTTGATGCAAACTGTGTTAGTGGCATGTGAGGCAGGGCATGCTTACACCTGGTGTCACACTGATCTCTTCAGCCGTCGCATATCTACTTAGTTATGTAGTGGAGTAGTCTAGAGAGTAAAGTGTTCGCTTGCCAACCAGAATACACGAGTTCTATTCCTCACAAACCGTGAAGCCGCTCGGTGTCTCCCGTTTTATTTGGCTACAAGATTGCTTAGTACTATCAACAGAATTACTGACGCACTGCATCGAATTGAAATGGGATATAGTTTATATCCTTGACGAGGCATATTTGGGTTAACCATAAATGTATGTTCTTGCTTGTTCGAATTTAACTGTTGTGTTAACTTTAAGAGCTGTGTTATGTAAGTGTAATGATGCTACTTTGGTACCATTAACATATCTTTGGAACCAAAAGGTCTCTTTCACTTCTTCGTATATTGTCGAAATTGTTTTCTAGCTATTTCGATTATAATTTCGAAATTTATATTATTTCCTTGTATCAAGTCGTTTAACAAAGAATTTCGAAAAAATAAACTATTAATTGATATATTTCGCAATTTTCGTGCAAAAACATGTGGCATCATTAAGACTTCGTACTGTTCCTGCCAAGAGGGATGTGGTGACACAGTGTCAGTGTGATGTAGCAGTACAGTACAGCTGTAGAGGACGTGATGTAACTGTCGTTCCGTCGTTTACAGGGACTGTCGGTCTGTAGGGGTGATGAGCAATCAACCAAAATCGAAAACCCAGCACGTGAAGCTGGTGTTGCTAGGCGACCAAGGGGTAGGAAAGTCCAGCTTGGCGCTCCGGTTTGTTCGTGGGGAGTTCCACGAGAACAGCGAGGCTACGATTGGAGGTGAGTTGATGCAAATGTTATACCACCCCATCACACATAAACGCATCTTCTAGGATACGCATACGCATCCAGCATACCGCTGTATTTGTCCTGGCATCCAGTTTAAGAAATCTTGATTCGTATCGGTGTACACAGTTAGTATCATAGTCTGTCGTACAGACCCTGAAGCAAATATATCCAAGAAAGCCCACGCAAGTCTAGAAAATGTGGCAAGTCTAGATTTCCACAGCATCAGGCTGAAAATGAAGAAAGTCCCTGGGCTCCTTTTTATTGTATTTATAATTTTAATATAGAAACTTATGCTTTCTGTAAAATATGTTTATTTCAGAGACTAGCTGTTAGTCTATTTGTACCAGTAATTTAACCATATGTTCACATTTCCAAAGCTTTTGATTTCTCAAATTCTGCAAGGAAGAAATCTTATCTGGATGCCACTTACAAGGTCCCGGCGTAGAGCATATCAAACTGAGGTTGGCACCCTTAATTTACCGAAGCTTGGGAGTCGAATAACCTAGTTTTAATAACCAACAGGTTTAGCGAAAGACAGTAGACAATTTTTCCTATGGAAGATAAACCCAACGCAAAAACACCTGTTCATCTTCAAAATTACTTGGGGCGGTGGGGTAGCATAGTGACTGAAAATGCGCTTGTCTCTCCAAATTTCCGGGTTAAATTCCTCACGAAGGTTCAATGTGTATAGCCCATTTCTGGTGTCCCCAGCCGTGATATTGCTGGACTATTGCTGAAAGAGGCGTAAAATCTTCCTCACTCAATGACCAACATTATGTGTAATTCAAATTTCGTGCCAAGCCATGACATTGCTGGAATTGTGTTAATGGGACGGTTAAATAGTCTGATGGTTAATGCACGTCATGCTGAAGACCAGGGTTCGATTCTCCACATGGGTACAATGTATGGAGCCCATTTCTGGTGTCCCCCGCCGTGATAATGCAGGAATATTGCTGAAGGCGGCGTAAGACCTTACTCGCTCACATGAAACGGTGTAATCAATAAGTAACAGATTACTTTGAGCGTTTTCAATACTACACAATTTACCCATTTACCGTTACTTTCAGCTGCGTTCCTCACACAAACCACCAATGTGGACAACCATTCCATCAAGTTCGACATCTGGGACACGGCGGGGCAGGAGCGCTACCACAGCCTGGCTCCCATGTACTATAGAGGAGCCCAAGCCGCGATCGTCGTCTACGATGTCACAAGCGCTGTAAGTCATGGGATTGTGAAAACACCTCGAAATATTATTTGTTTCACGACAGTTCCCCTATCCTTATGACGGCAGTGTGTTAATAATTGAGTTTGGGGGACGGTGGGGGTAGCCTAGCGGTTAAAGCGTTCGCTCGTCACGCGACGAGGACAAAACCCGGGTTCGATTCCCCACATGGGTGCAATATGAAGCCTATTTCTGGTGTCCCCCTCCATGATATTGCTAGAATATTGTTAAAAGCAGCGTAATGCTAAACTCACTCACTCACTCGTTGAGTTTGGACCTTCTAGGTTTGTTATCGTAGGAGGTGGGAGTGACTGTGAGGAGGGGCACGAAGAAGGGTTTTATTGGGAACATTTGCATGCGTAGGTTCCAAGTTTCTGGTAAAAGATTTTAGCATATACACTGGTTCCGGCGCGATGATGTAGCCTTATGGTTAAAACGTCCGATCGTCACGCAGAAGTCCCGGGTTCGATTCCCCGTAATGTGTGAAGCCCATCTGGTGTCCCCTGTCATGATATTGCTGGAATATTGCTAAAAGCGGCGTAAAACTATACTCACTCGCTCACTATTCTCTGGTTCCAGAATTCTTATAACCGGGCGTTGTCATGGATACGCGAGCTACGACAACAGGCCAACTCCCAGATAGTTCTGGTTCTGGCGGGGAATAAGGCGGACATGGCTGGGCCAAACAGAGCCGTTCTGACAGAGGTACACAGAACATTGCTCTGTTCTCGGCAGATATGTGTAGCTCAGTGGACGTCGTAATTATGCATACACATAGAACATAAGTAACAGAATATTGTACAATACCCCACATCCACGCTTAGCTCAGAGGACGCGAACAGAAATACACAATACAAAACACATCATTATGCTACACTCTGCAGCGACTACGTAATTGAGCAATAAAATACACACGGATTATACATAATAGAGCAATTAAATACCGCGGGATTATGCATAACAACAATAAAATACACACGGATTATTAATCACATCCCAGTTCCACATTTACCTCAGCGGACATGAACAGAGCAATAAGACACACATGGAATATTACTAACAGAACGTTGTATTAATTACATCCCAGTTCCACGTTTACCTCAGCGGACATGAACAGAGCAATAAGACACACATGGAATATTAATTACATCCCAGTTCCACGTTTACCTCAGCGGACATGAACAGAGCAATAAGACACACATGGAATATTACTAACAGAACGTTGTATTACACTCCCCAATCATGGGTAGACCAGAGGAAGTAAACAGAGCATCAAATCACACAAAATATCAATATCAGATCATGTATTCCACCCAACATCCACATGTTGCCCAGCGCGCGTGAACATAGCAATATATACACACGTCATATTAGTCACCGACACCACACTTAATACAAAGTTATAAGCATATCAAGAGATCATTGTCACACACACGGCCATTCGACCACTCACCACTCCACTGGCTGAACAATGCTACACAGGGCCTCTACATTAAAATACCCTTCAACAGGATGTCATCACTTACGTTAAGTACTTATATGTGGGCCATTGTATCAGTGAAAGACGTTGACAGGCATACATTTCCTGGGATATACTACACTGTCAACGATGGCACAAATATCTCCTGTATGGACAAAGCTTTGGGATTTAAAATAATAATAATTATTTTCCCATAAACCGTTCTGTCGAATTTAAAGTTTACAAACTTGTTCATATTCTAAGAAAAAATTAGAGAGAGTAGAGCTACGGATTACTTCTGTTTTAAAATAGACGTTCTGGAAATGATCTTCAAGACTGCGCAAAAATGTATCAGATGAATAATTATCCTATTTTTCATTTGAGAGTACGTTTTTGTGCTTTTATAACGATTTTACGAACGTTTTGTTCAATTTTAATCACGGAAGGTGACTTTTAGAATGCCCTTAATTCTATGATAGAAACTGTTTACGTTAGTATTCTCCGTTAAGGCAGGTCCAAATTAGGTCCTTTCAAACTGAACGTCTAATTATGATTTACATTTATTATAGTAATTTCTAACATATATTTTAAATTGAGATACTTTGTGACTTCCTGTTCCTGTGGTTGTTTCAGGACGCACAAGCATACTCGGCTGATAATGGGCTGATATTTGCCGAAACCAGTGCTAAAACCGGAATGGGCGTCAATGACATATTCATTAAAGTCGGTAAGTCGAACTTGGTACTGATTTGATGGTCCATCATATTCACTGAACTTCGAGAGGGCAAAAGGCATTATTTCGGAAATCATTGAAATTTTGGTATGAAACGAATCAGTCATCTTTGCATGTTTTCTTTCTCCAACTTGTATGTTTCCGTATTGTATATGCAAGTATATACTTCACAAGTTGTACCCACGCGGGGAATCGAACCCGGGTCTTCTGCTGACAAGCGGACGCCTATCTTCTTATACGTGTAACTTTCATTGTACACGAAATTATAAAGCATTAAATCGTGAAAACTGACATAAAAAACAACGTTTATCACTTTGATTAAAGATTGAAGTCCGACAGGTCACGTCGGTAAACTTTTTCTTACTGGGCGATTCGTAGCCCCCAGTTATTAACGATGAATATTTATGTGGTTCTCTAACGGAAGCTTTTCTTCGGTATTTCTACGAGCCAATCGACCACGATTCACTAACAGATTGACGGCTTCCCTTTATATATTCTACAGCACATAAACTGGCCCGTAGACTCGACCAGGGCGGCTCGCTGGAAGGAAACAGAGATGGAGTGAGGTTAAAAGGGGATGAAGGCGAAAAGAAGAAAGGTTGTTGCTAAGCAACCAAATAATCGACAGATCTGTAAAATATACTCGATTGGTAAAGGAACTGTGATAACACTTCCACTCAGCAGCTCTGTAATATATTTAGTACCATCAATAATCTTGAAGTCTTAACATTACAGTGTACATAGTAATATCGCCGTTATATGGTATAATATGGTTTAGCGAGCGCATACAATACATTTATGAGCAGACATTGACCTTTATCACTGGCTTGTATGACATATCTGTTTCATTAAGACAAAAGTTCGGATATGTCAAAAAGTTGATTACTAACCTTGCTTCGCATGTGGCCACCAAACACATGTGTTACGATTGATCAAAGAACGCAACACCTAGCGCCACTCTCGCATGACGTCATATACTGTGACGTCACGCTTTTTGGGATGTAGTTGATTCTGAGCCACGATATCACTGGCCATCCTGAACGTGCATTTTAAAGTAAAGCTGATGTATAACTATAGATCATTATGCAATATTATACAAATGTATCATGTATTGTGTTTTAACCATTACGAGGTTTAAGACAGAGAAAGCACTCGAATCTTGATTCATCGAGCAACCTGCTGACTCAAGAGATTCGTGATTTGTCCTGTACAAAATATTGTTTAAAACTTTGTTAATCTATTTAGATGTTTTTCGCTCTTATGACGTTCATATAGGCCTACGCCCTCAACAATATTCACTTCAATCTGACGATGCTGAATGTGTTGGGTTGTACCCCACTGTTAACTGATTAAACTTAAACACCTTTAACATCAACAGTATAGTCCAAGCAAGATTGTGTATTTCAGCCGTGAAAAGTCACGCAGTTATCTCTCCGACATTTAAAGACCGCGCAATATCCAATTCTGTTCAGTTTAAGAGGCTGGGTTCTTTTGTTTTAGAAACATACAACAAGATACAACCAAAACGTAAACGTTAATGTTCTAACTTCCATGCAGATGTCGCCCAATACACATGAAAACGCGTCAGTCTGATGTCACAAGTATTCCCACTTCGGTGCCATCAATATGTTTGTAGATCTCTCGTATGTGAAAGTCAGGATAACAGAGGCGAAGTCGCTAAGGGCGTATATAACGCTCCCGACTAATCAGGGATCCGCTGGTTCGAATCCTTAATTCCCCGTTATCACGGTCCTGGGTCTGTCAGCGCCCTCTGAGGTTGTGACATTTACTAAAATGATAAACGTGTACCACTTCCGGGTTTCCCTCCTTCATTTAGCTGACATGCCGTGACGTAGCTGGAATACTGTTGAAAGGGGCGTCCTTTCCGTTTTACTCACTTATTGCCTTACGAACTGATGGGGCGAATGTTCTTCCATGAGGTCATTATAAACATAATCATGGTAAGTATATCAACCATGTATATTAATGTTTGTGGTCTGCTAATGATTATGTACGAGGACACTGACAACACAAACACTAAATAATCATAAAAATATTCTCCGGCATTCTGTACTTATATACCCTGTATATACTTAGAAACCAAATTTAGAATGTTTTTATCAGGCTCTTGCTTAAAAACCCTTTTTAATTATGTAGATGTGTGATGTAATTAAATATTTGTAGTCATCTACTTTTTTCTTGCAATAAGCATTGATTGTATTTACTTAAAACGAGTAAAAACGTTTACATAGAAACCAAGTTCGTTTTTGTTTTGTATATTGTATGTTGAAAGTATACTAAGCAGCAAAAGAACCGTCAGTTTGGAATCTTCCTTCGCAGAAACCGATAACTGTAAACTCATTTAATGTTTTGATTGTATATTTTTGACAACATCTCCAACTCTAGCTGAGCAAAGACATTCCTTCCCAAACTCAGAATGGAACCCAGGAAATGTTTTTCATGCAACTCATGCTGCATGTGCTGTTCACAAGGACCAGCCCTATAAAATGCACCCCCAAACCTGGTTGAAACATTCACATTACAACGTCAGCAGGATGCCACGACTCACGACAGCTCAGAGGAACCAGGCGCTAGAAAGATTTGAAGCTGGCCACACTGCACAAGCCGTTGCCAATCACTTCCAGGTCAACGTTCGGACCATCTACAGGCTGCAGCAACGTTTCCGGGCCACCAACACCACAAATGATCGCCCCCGTACTGGCAAACCAAGGGTGACCACAAGACGACGAGACCGCCATGTTTTGCGACAGCATGTAGATGGCAGAACAAGAATATGGCGACGACGTGGCCAGCGTTACCAATGTGTTATGAAAAGAGACTCATGGGGAGGTGCAAGCATCATGGTATGGTGTGGAATAGGCCTGAACCAGAGAGTGGGTCCTGTGGTGTTCCAGAACCTTGTTCCAGGGAGAGGAGGCGGCATCACAGCTGTGCGCTACATCAACCAAGCTCTCAGACCCCACGTCATACCACATTTCGCACGTTCCAAAACGAAAGAGGTTGCAGACAAGGAGACCCAATTTCACCGTATTTGTTTTTGCTCGTTGCAGAAATACTAGGGATTATGATTCGTAACAATGTCGAAATAAAAGGTGTCACCTTAAATGATATCGAATACATTATAGGTCAATATGCAGATGATACAGAATTATTTTTAGATGGATCAGAGACCTCTCTTAAGGAAGCAATAGATACTCTATCAAGCTTTTATAAAATGTCTGGACTTAAAATAAACGTTGATAAAACTAAGGCAGTATGGCTTGGATCACTCGCTGGAAGTATGATAAAACTAACCCTCGACCTTAATCTAGATTGGCATGTAGGAAACTTCGACGTATTGGGAATAACACTGAACGCTTCTTTGCAAAACCCGTGGCTCATCAACACAAGAAAAAGGCTAGACAACATCAAAAGAATTCTTTCAAAATGGCGTAAACGTAATGTGACTTTGATTGGCAAAATTACCGTAATTAAAACGTTGGCCTTATCAACCATAGTTCATATATTTACCTCCCTTCCAAACCCACCACCCGATTTTATCGCAGAATAGAACACTCTCTTTTTCAAGTTTATATGGAACGACTTAAAGGACAAAATAAAACGCGGAAATATGAAGATGGAGGTCTAAGAATGATTGATATTAAAACCTTCATTGAATCAGTTAAAATTTCATGTCTAAAAAGACTCATCGCTAAACAGAAACAATATGACCTCCCCGGTTTTCGATTAGACTATATCTTCCACTTCGGTGCAAATATCCCGTTTTACTTGAAAATTAAAACCCCTTCTGGAATGATGTTGTAAAGGCGTGGAGTAAATATGTAAAGATCCATTCTGTTCATACTGAGGATATCAACGGCATTTTAATGCAACCGCTGTGGTTAAACGACCACTTTCGTGACTCTAACTTTATTATAAAAAAATGGTAGTGGTATAGTGTAGTGTATGTAACAGATCTCTGTGATGAAAACGGAACAATTCCATTCATAAACCTAAAAGCATCATTCAATATGAAGGGTACCATACTTGATTACAATCGTTTATTACTTAACATCCCAAAGGTATGGAGAACAAGACTGCAAAATGTTAAAATATATTTTTTTCACATTAAAACTGTATGCCCCTGGAACGATATTAATAATCCCTTCTCTATGATAAACTCATCTCAGCTACCAGCTTCCCGAACGTTTTTAATAAATGGGAAAGAGAAGTTGATACATCTATTGACTGGAAATGTATTTTTTCAAGATATAGAAAAGCCATAAGTGATACAAAACTATTAGAATTTCAATACAAATTCTTGAATAGAATAATTTATACCAAAAAAGAACTATACTGAACAGCAAAAGAAACGCAAGTCTAGCTTTTTGTCAAGTTTGTGAACAGAAGACAACCAAAATCATGTCCCATCATTTATTCTATAGACAACACTGTCAATTTAACAGCTGAAAGTTGCTGTTGACATTGAATTGCAATAAGTTCAAATTGATCACAGTCCGTCAAATGGAGATACCCTTGAACGCGAAAAGTGACACTCACTCTTTAGTCGCGTGTATGGCCACCTTGAGCTTGCACACAGGCCGTGCAACGTGGCCTCATTGAGTTCATTAGAGAAGAATGCCTGAGGCAATTGGTTCCGCTCAAACACCAATCTCTATTCCAATTGTGCAAGTGTGAGTGGCTGTCTACCTGCACCAATCATCCGTCCAATTTCGGGGAGCCATATACGGGGAAAGAGACGGCCATGATAAAACGTTAATGTTGTTTTGAGCCAGATAATCGACCGACACACCTGCTGTGGGAGGGCTGCAAACGTCGCTGGCATTGTTGGCGTGTCAAAATTGGTCCCAAATAGGCCTTCGGCAGTGGATTCCAGCAGCCCGAAGACGACGCCTAATCGTATCGCTGGACACTACCCCCCTTGACCCATGAACTAAGGCTGCTGTTACTGTTGGTGCTTGAGTTCGGTTCCTTAGATGAGTGACCCGGATGAACCGATCTTGCGCATGAGATGTAACTCGTTGCCGTCCGGTATGGGGACGATCAGCTGCAACCCCGATTTGCTGATGACGTTGAGCAAGTCGTGTAATGGTTGTGATATGACAGCCCGATTGTCTAGCTTCAGCGGTTGCAGAGCTACCTCCGTGCAACTTTCCAATGGCCATTCCCCTCTGCTCAGTCGTTAGTCTAGGCATCGTTTGTGTGGCGTGTACATCTTCTAGTGTCAATACTGAACTGTTTTTTGACACAAACCTTTATAATGGATACCTCAGAGTGAAATGCATGCTTTTCATCCAGAACCGTCGATGCACGTGCTAAAAATATGGTTTTGCTGCACTATTGGTGTGTTTGCGCGAATGGTTCGTATGGACGTCAAATTGCATGACATCATCTCATCTTGGATCATTACGTCACTTTTCCATGAACGTTCCATAAACATGAACGCTTACCTTCATGAGATTTCATTTTTTCGAAACTTGCGTTTCTTTTGCTGTTCAGTATATTAAAAATGGTTCAAATCAGGTTTTGCACGTGCAGTCGATCACGTGATCTTCGCATCGAAGTTTTCTTCAATGCACGTGTTTGCATTGGCCTCAAGAATTGAAAAAAACACACTTTTAAACCACAGTTCTAACGGTACTTGAAATGCCACGATTGTCAAATGTGCAACGTGAACGTGCCGTTGGCATGTTGCAAGCGGGTAGATCAGTTATTGACGTCGCAAGAGCAATGGGATGCAGCCATCGTACTGTGTATGACTTGCGAGGTCGTCTACAACAAACTGGCACCACTTCTGATCGCCCAAGGTCGGGTCGTCCACGTGTGACGTCACGAGCAGAAGACCGTCAAATCGTCCTACGTCACCTACGTGACAGATTTCTGCAAGCTACACGAACCAGGGCTGAGATGTTTGGAGGTCGACTGTCCTCACAGACCATTCGAAATCGGTTGCGGGCTGCCAATCTCAATTCTCGACGTCCATATCGTGGGCCAATATTGACGCCGTTTCATCAACGTCAACGTCTGCTGTGGGCCCAACGTCACCTCCGATGGATCCAGAGAGACTTGAATCGAGTCGTCTTTAGCGATGAATCCAGGTTTACCCTCAGATTCGCGGACGGCAGGCATAGAGTCTGGAGACGACGTCGTGAACGGTATGCCCAATGTTGTGTACAGGAAGTCGACAGATTCGGGGATGGAAGTTGCATGGTGTGGGGTGCTTTCTGTGGGAACAACCGTTCCCGACTTCTGGTCATCCGTGGAAACCTCACAGCTGCTGCTTACCGCGACCAGATGCTCACCCCGAATTCGTTCTTTTCATGGCGGCTCATGGCCCAGGTCTACAGTTCCAGCATGATAATGCTTGGCCGCATACCGCGATGTTGACACGAAATTTCCTTCAAAACGCTGGAATCAACGTCATGGACTGGCCATCGAGGTCCCCTGACCTTAATCCGATAGAGCACGTTTGGGATGCACTTGGGAGAAGGCTTCGTGGTCTTAGGAACCAACCTCAGAATTTGCAGGAACTTGGCGCTGCCTTGCAAGAGCAATGGCGCAGAATCCCCAACCACGTATTCACAAGCATCAGGCAGTCGATGAGGAGACGGTGTTTGGCAGTGGTGAATGCGCGGGGCGGCCATACACGATATTGAACTGAGAAATTTCGCATTTTTATTCTTTTGACTTGACATTCTGTTTTCCCATGTTTTGGTGTAGCCTAATGGAACTGATTATGGCACTGTCAGTGTATCGAGTAAATCACACAGATCTCAGCAATGAAATAATAACAATTTAACCATCTTACCATCTCTTGTTCTTTTATAGTGCCCTGCAGAAAGAATGTTAAGTTTCTTTTTTAACTCAGTATATTTGTTATGAACATCAAAGGGTTTAAACCATGCATTAATTTTTTTAAAGTTACCCTAAAAGACGTCTTCACGGTAGAAAAATACATTGCTATTAAAAATGATAGAATCAGCCTATTCAACAGAAAATGGAATGTACTACAAAACATGCTTTAACTATTTTGCCCATATATTAGCGTTCACCTCTATTGCCGTTTGTATATGTTTGATCAGCTGATACTACCAATGTCAGTGTTTATCTTGATATAAGTACCGATTCATCAGCTTCAGATTTCTCTGCTCCGACTGACACTGTATCTTATTTTGAATGTACTTTAGCTATGTAACTCACTGAGTTTAATATAGAAAAGGTTAAAAAACAAACATTTTCCAGCATGATAACGCCCGGGCCCATACTGCAAGAGCTACACGGGACTTCCTACAGCAGAACGGTGTCAACATTATGCAGTGGCCAGCCCTTTGTCCTGATTTATACCCAATTGAACATCTTTGGGATGAAATTCAGAGGAGACTGAATATCGCATACCAAGGCCGAACACAGCCGATTTATTGCGCCAGGCCTTTCTCAGAGTGTGGTTCAAGGTGCCAATGGCATTCATCAATCGATTGGTGCACTCCATGCATAGACGCTGTGCTGCAGTTATTGCCGCCCGTGGTGGTCACACCAACTACTGAAGTCAAGGGTCTGAATGGACTGCAAACGTTCACGTAATGTCTTGAAATTGTGCTGAGTTATTCATTGATGTGTCAAGATATTGTACACAAAAAATGTTTTTGATTCGCTTATTATGTCCATTTGTGTAATGATTTGATTACAGTGCCTATCTAATTTTGAATTCGTACTGACGTTTTATTGCTGCTGAGTATAGATACAGTACTTCTCACATCTAGCTACCTCTATGTCGCAACACTCAAAGTTGTAAAAGTACAGTACCATGTCTCACCTGTTTATTCTACGGCCAAACTACAGACAAGCTGATGTACTATTTTAAGCGAACCCGAATCACAGTAAAGAGGTATTTAGTTGTGGCCAGTAGCGTAGTAATACATTTTGACATGAGTTACGTTCAAGATAATTGTGTGTATGCGTGCGTTCTCGCGCGTGTGTGTGAGATCGTGCATGTGCTTGTGCTTGTCTCGACGAGCATTCCGTCGGTAAAGTGTCAGTCTTCGGAGATACTATGCTGTGCTTTAACATGGCCATAGCGAGTGTCTGACAGATACCACTTATCTTACAGCGTGTTATTTCATAAGGTATCTAACAAAATGAAAAATAGTTACGTACGTTTCAAAACAACAAGATGTACGATAATTGGTATGACGACAGTAATCTGCTTCCTGCATAACGTAAAGTTGCACCGTTTTCATATGAAATCGACATGAATCTTGTCCGTCTCATGATCACAGTGGCGTAATAATACATAACAGCGGCGATTTGCGGACGACTTACTGCTTACTACTCATACCAAATGTGACCCTCTTTAAGGAACGTTTCTTAGAGATTTATACATAAGACACTGTACACTGGTTAACACTCTAAAACCATGATGTGTTTGACACAGACGTAAGTGAACTCGACCGAAACACAACTAACTTATCAACTATTTATCATCAGAAAAGTAGTCCGTCATGTCGTAGACCTTAGATCATCACCATGGACTAGCCACTGACGGACCGAGAATACGACCTCATACATATGTATGATACCAGTTATCTCCCTTGGGGCTCTCATCCACAGGTGAACAGACCGATGTGGGCTGGGATCGAACCACCAGGCCTCCGCTCTTCAAGCTTACGTTGTGTTAGTGAGTGAGTGAGTGAGTGAGTGAGTGAGTATGGTTTTAAACCGCATTTAGAAATATTCGAGCAATATAACGACCGGGGACACCAGCACTTCACAGATTAATCATTATACCAATATGGCGCCTTAACCAAAAGGCTAACCCACCGCCCAAACGCTCTGTCAAGTGAAGACGTTCGTAATATGCTGTCTTTATGTCATCTTCAACATCTGCATTTTTATACATGTTAATAGCATAATGTAATTATGTGAGTGGGTGAGTTGGGTTTTACAGAATGTATACTGAAACAATTCGCTCACTCGATATCTTTTAATATTTTCCCAAATGACTGTAAATCTAAAATTGGATTATTATGTGCATTTAAACATGAAATAAACACAGCCATGTCATATTGTGGCAGAGACCTCATGCTTTATCATGCGGGTAAACTTTCACTTCGGTAAATAACATAACCGCGCTTTTCCTCTTTCGAGATAAGTTGATTATTGTGATGTCATTGTGTGTCAGTATACTTAACTTCCTCCACTATGTCTGGGGGCGGTGGGGTAGTCTAGTGGTTAAAGCGTCCGCTCGTGACGCCGATGTCCCGGGTTCGATTCCCCACATGGGTACAATGTGTGAAGCCCATTTCTGGTGTCTTCCTGCTGTGATATTGCTGGAATATTGCAAAAAGAAGCGTAAAACCAAACTCACTCACTCACTCAACTATGTCTGACATTTTTAATAAAAATTTTGTGTGCGTTATGGGGATAGGAAGAGACTTGACTTATATACATATTACACAAATGGTTACGTACACTTGAGCCCACCTGCAAATGATGAAACCTAATTGAAAACAATCTCCAGAACATGTCGCGAAAACACATCCGTTATATAAAGCGACGGAACACTGCCTCCCATTCGAAACACTCCCTTCCTCTCCCAAACAAACAAACCCAATGCTACTACTTTCGCTTAAAAATGTGAAAGCCAATTTTTGTTCGAATAGGACTACCCATACAAATGATAAAAAACTTCAATCATAAGACAAGTGAACGGCAAATATTACTCACACCACTGACGACTAGCAAACACAGCTTGTTGAGCAGCAAGGACAATAATAACAGTGTGCGGGTGTTTTACATCACGTGACGATTACGTGACATGCGCATTTCCACGAAGGCGGTGATATTGGGGAACCCCATTCTGTACGGAACAGTGTTTATAGACTTGGGTAAGGGTCTATGTGTAACACTTACTACATCGTCATGAAATAAGACGACATCATGTTGACATGGCCGAGGAACAAGGCGCCTCTCATACAACAACAAACCAGTATCACAGACGACAAGGTAGGCCCTTAATTACAACATTGTTATCCTCATATAGGTCCGTTATTGTAGCCTAGTGGTTAAAGCGTTCGCTCGTCACCCCAAAGAAACGGGTTCGATTCTCCACATGGGTACAATGTGTGAAGCCCATTTGTGTTGTCCGCAGCCGTGATCTTGCTGAAATATTGCTAAGAGCTGCGTAAAACTAAACTTGCGAACTCGCTCTTAGTCTTCGTCCATATTGTTGTTCTGCAAACGAATGTAAAAGCTCACCTAATAATTATTATATTGGTCCTCCTTAAAGTAGGCTGCCATGTTCGTGACTGTACATGTTCGTGACTGTAACCTATATTGGACCAATGCTTACATCACGCACTACACACTCACTGGATAGAAAAAAACAAAACAAAACAAACGAAAATAATCGAGGTATGGACCAAGTCAAGATACCCGTCGTTTCACAACAACCTGCTGCAGTGGATGTTATTCGGATATTATTACACTGCACGATTTCTGTTTTGTGTTATTTATCGCAGATTATAGCCTTCGTCACTTTATATCTCAAGATATCGAAACCCGCATTTCATGAATTAAGGTTTGAATATTTCCCTAAATCGAGCGTGCTACGTTGTAAGAGTTTCACATTACAACGGAAAGAGGGGCTAGACAGCACAGGTCAATGCAGGGAGATAATTAACTTACTGAGATCATTATACCAAAACCCAGACGACTCAACAACCACACACTCATGATTACTCATATAAATTACACAGCCAAATACACATGATTTCACAACCACAAACACAGTAGTACACAGCCAAATACACATGATTTCACAACCACAAACACAGCTGTACACAGCCAAATACACATGATTTCACAACCACAAACACAGTAGTACACAGCCAAATACACATGATTTCACAACCACAAACACAGCAGTACACAGCCAAATACACATGATTTCACAACCACAAAGACAGCAGTACACAGCCAATAAACATGATTTCACAACCACAAACACAGCAGTACACAGCCAAATACACATGATTTCACAACAACAAAGACAGCAGTACACAGCCAAATACACATGATTTCACAACCACAAAGACAGCAGTACACAGCCAAATACACATGATTTCACAACCACAAAGACAGCAATACACAGCCAAATACACATGATTTCACAACCACAAACACAGCATTGCACAACCAAATACACATGATTTCACAACCACAAACACAGCTGTACACAGCCAAATACACATGATTTCACAACCACAAACACAGCAGTACACAGCCAAATACACATGATTTCACAACCACAAAGACAGCAGTACACAGCCAAATACACATGATTTCACAACCACAAACACAGCAGTACACAGCCAAATGCACATGATTTCACAACCACAAAGACAGCAGTACACAGCCAAATACACATGATTTCACAACCACAAACACAGCATTGCACAACCAAATACACATGATGATATCTCTTTGATACACACTAACACTGCAATGTCAAACTTTGAAGTGTGAAGCCTATTGATATCACAAAGTAAAAGTTTGGACCCACGTATTTAATCATCAGTTTCGGTCGTGTCCAGACTCACATACCTGAAAGTAAACTCTGTCAAAAAAGAAACGCAACCCCTGTATTTTAGAGATTTTGATCTGAAGTTTTAGGACGACACGGCATTTTTATTATTTAAGACAGAAGTCTGAAATTTGGCAGAATAATAACCCAGATGGGCATGTTTAAAATTGTCATTTCAAAAGTCATCTCACAGACACCAGTTTGTCACCAGGGGGGCGTCTTTCTCAGTATCTCGTATGAGCACCACGCGCTGCAATCACTGCACGGCATCTCCTTGGACAAGAACGGATAAGACGCCGGATTCTTTCCTGGGGAATGGCTCTCCACTCCTCCTGCAGTGCAACGGCGAGCTGTTGCAGCGTCTGTGGCGGCGGCTGACGTTGACGTACGCGTCGATCCAGAGTATCCCACAGGTGTTCAATAGGGTTGAGGTCTGGTGATTTAGAGGGTCATGGCAAGACATTGACGTTGGAATTCTGCAGAAAGTTCATTGTTGCACGTGCAGTATGAGGCCGGGCGTTGTCCCGTTGAAAAATCTGTGTCTGTTGGTCAATAATCGGGAGAAGGTGAAGCTCTAACACGTGGTTGATGTAACGTTGGGCTGTCAGGTTCCCTGGAACGATCACCAAGTCTGATTTCTGGTTGTATGAGATGGTTCCCCAAACCATGACGCTTTCTCCGCCAAATCTGTCCACCTGTCGGACGCAGATGGGCGCAAAACGTTTATGACGTCTCCTATACAGACGCTGTCTTCCGTCGTGACGTTGCAAAAGAAAACGTGATTCATCAGAAAACCAGATTCGCCTCCAGTTTTGTAAAGTCCGTATCCTTACGTTGTTGCACCACCTGAGTCGTCGGCGTCGATGTAGGGGGCGTAGTACAGGTCCAACAACTGGTCTACAGGCACGTAAACCCGCTTCTTTCAGACGGTTCCTAATCGTTTGAGCTGACACTCTCCTCAAACCTGGTATTTGTGTGGCAGTCACGGTTGGTAGGGCATGCCGATTACGCAGGTGATGGACCCGGATGTACCGATCTTGAAGGGGGGGTCGTGATTCTTGGCCTTCCACTTCTCGGGCGATCGTTGGTCAAATTGAAGTTGTTGTAGCGGCTCCAAAGTCGGGATATCGTTGTTTTGTGAACATTTAGGTGCCGTGCAACAGTTCCAAAACTTTCTCCGGCTTGAACACGACCAATGGCGATATTTCGGTCGGCAGCACTCAATCGTGGCATTTTTAACACAGCTTTTCGGCGACAAATGAATGAATATAATACGGAAGCACATGGGCTTTTATACACCCCTACATTAACTGCCATTTTCATGATTTGCATGTGTTTTATGTGCGAAGTCACCATGAGGGTCATTTCATGCGTTGTGACGGAATAAGCAATAAAATACACTTATGCGTACAAATGCAGTTGTTTGGATGGTAATCTTCATTAATTACGTGTATCATTTCAATACATTCGAATAAAATTTAGTTTGGAAGCAATAACTTCATTCAAACGAATTTTTCATATCTGAGGACAGGGGTTGCGTTTCTTTTTTGACAGAGTTTATTTACATAGGTCTTGTCAACTGCAACACAGCAGAATTTGACCACATCACATGCGAGTATGTTAAACTGTGTTTACTGCTCTATCCACCTTCATAATAACAATCTACCTGAAGGTGGGCATGTACCACAACCAGATTTGAGCCAGCATCACACATGAGTACAGCACTTCTTCCTGCTCCTTACAAGTGGAGGAACTTCATCGGAGAGCTCCACATTCAGTTCTGTACTATCTCGACTGGGAACCTCGCCATCTAGAGTATCTCCCAGAAGATGGGCTGAAACATTGCGTGGGCATGGCATGGAAATGTTCTTGGTCCAAAAATTAAAGAAATTAATGTGTAAACAAACCAGAGTGCTTCCCACAGCCTAAAACTACATCATGAAATTACTGTGAGTGAGTGAGTTTTGTTTTACGCCGCACTCAGCAATATTCCAGCTATATGGCGGCGGTCTGTATATAATCGAGTCTGGAGTACCCAACAACGAGCCCTGACTTATAACAGCGACAATTTCTCCTGACCATTATTTTAGAGCGAGTTATAGCGATAATATAATCAGCTACATTCGCTACACGGTGATGGTATATGATTACATCAGGACCGGGCAAACCAATGGTCGATAGTATGATCGATCCAAGCTCTTGGGTCGGGTGACACTGTCGAATCTGTGTCGGCGCCCAATTATTAGATCATCGGTATTGGTCGCACCAAATACCTAGCGCTAATCAGGTCTTATATTTAACAGTTATATATAAAACCAATAAGAGCCTGTCTAACGTTTGAATTTGCAACCTTGCCATACGAATCCTAGTCAAGATTTGTTGCAACACTAAGGCTGAGTGAACGTTTAAAAAGTTTCATGGTCCGATTCTCTTCCATATTTTGACTTGTATTATACATTCCCGTGTTTGTTTATCTGTAAGTTGACTTGCCTCTGCGTGTGTTTGCGACGGTAGGGGCAGGATACGCTCATCATTTTGCGAACATATGGTATCATATCTATTGATAGCGATGCATAAATACAGTATACTTAAATGAGTACAGACATCATTGGTTGAATGCTACTAACCGAAATATCGCCATTGGACGTTTGGGAGTCCCTGCCTGTGGTTGCAAGACACTTCAACGTCCAAAACAGCACCATATCTCAATTATGACATCGATATACCAGCTCCAATTCAACCCAAGGTCGTCCCGGAAGTGGAAGACCAAGGGTGACGACTCTTGCTCAGGACCGATTCATCCGGGTGTTTCACCTACGTCAACGATTTGCTACAGCAGCGGACAGAGCAGGACAGGTGCCCGGTCTTCGAAGAATCAGACCATCAGAAATCGTCTGAGAGAAGTGGGAATTCGAGCATATCAACCAAATGTTGGACCTGCCCTGACACGACTACACCAACAACGACGTGTCCAATGGTGCAACAGGGTACAGACATGGAACCTTGGGAACTGGCGCCGCGTTTGATTCAGCGATAATCGGGTCTCCTCCGAAACGACGGGATGGGAGACGTGTCTATCGACGTCGATACGACCGTTTTGCGCCGAACTGCGTTCGACAGGTGGACAGATTTGAAGGAGTAAGCGTCATGGTGTGGACAGCCATGTCCTGCAAGGCAATCTTACAGCAAATGGTTACATCGACCGAATCCTGCGACATCACCTCCTCCCACCTTTTAACCGCCAGAGGGAGCTGTTTCAACACGACATCGCTCGACCCCACACAGCGCATCTAACAGGTGCCTATCTCCCCAAAGCAAACATCACTGCCCTTCCCAGGCCTTCCAAATCGCCTTATCTGAACCCGATCGAGCATCTATGGGACGAACTTGATCGACGCGTCAGTAAACGTCACCATCGTCCTCAGACACTTGCAGAACTTGCCAAAACGTTGCAGGAGGAATGGCGATGGATTCCCCAACAAAAAATCCGACGACTTGTGCATTCCCCGCCAAGGCGGTGTCGAGCAGTGACGACTGCAAGGGATGGTGTCTTCAGGTACTGACCTGGGCCCCGTTCCTCAAATCGATCGTAGCGCTACGACAGCCGTAAGTCTATGTTAAAGTATGGGAGTTACGATCATTTTAGCGCTACGATCGCTTTGAGGAACGGGGCCCTGAACGCTCCCTTGTATCAACAAGCAAATATATCCAAGAAAGCCCCAACAAGTCTAGAAAATGTGGCAAGTGTAGATTTCCTCAGCTTCAGGCTGAAAATGAAGAAAGTCTCAGGGCTCCTTTTCATTATATATATATATTTTTTTACTATGAACTTCTTTCAGTAAAATATGTTCATTTCAGAGATGAGTTGTTAGTCTAAACGTTACCCTACTTCTTTCTTCCGCAGATTAACAGAGGTAAAGCAGCGTGGTTTCACCCTATATATTATGATTTATTTTGGGTCTTTTAGTTAGAGACAATTCTGTAGTAATTGTTGTGTTAGGTTTTCTTAATAATGTAGTATATATTAATTTATAAATATTATTTGGGATAGGGGAGCAGGAGGAACTCTTACCCACTTCTTTCGTACACAGTGAGAATATGTTATGGATGTATAAAGTGGTCTATGTGACCCTTCAGTATAAAGAGTGTGCACCAGGCTGAACAGCTATGTAGAACAGTGTTATGTCGTGTTGAGTTGGATAAAAATACATGCATACGATTGTATCTAAGTAAACAGTAACGAAAGAATGCGTCAGTTTTGTATCAGGTAACATCTAACCGATGAGCAAGGTCACGGTCACGCCACCCCAGTCACCACTCATTGTCCTGAAACATAGCTGCATCTGAATGACGATTGCGTACATACACAAGTGCATTGATATACTGCTAAGTTTAGACGCACTAGTGTAAATGTAGCCACTTACTTCATTCAACGACTCTAAACTAGATTTTGCCAAATATTCCATACTGTTTAAAGGCACTGTTACACTTGAACTGATGTTTTGTATACACATTAGTAACGGTGAAAAGATTATTGTCATGAGTTCAATAAATGAAGAAACTAAGTGAAAATTGGCGAATTCTTAACAAAACGTTACACCAAAACGCAGCTGTTTACATGATCCTCGTGCAATTCAGCTGCATAAGGTTTGCAGTTGGTTCCCCAAGTTAGTGGACAAATTCCTCTTCAGTTGACTGAAGTAAGTGGCTACATTTACTCTACTGCGTCTAAACTTTAGATAGGTAGTATAGGATACGGGCCTATTGTGTGAGATAATATATGTCTCTTTGAAAATAACAAGGCAATTTTAAGTATGATAATAAAAATGTGATTTTGAAAGTAAGAGTTCACGTATTTGTATAATGCAGTGTATATGTATATGTGTAATTCAATAAATCAATCAATCAATCGTTCAATCAATTATTCATTTCATTTATTCATTCATTCATTTATGTTGAAAGGTTGACTGTGACAAGTGGAAATGCGGGACGGTGAAAAGACACAACATTGGGGGCCAGGTGATAGCTGCCAAGGTAACCCTGGTTGGGAATGTGAGCACAGGCAAGACGTCGCTGGCCCTGCGGTACTGCCGGGGATCTATAGACGCACATCCAAAACCCACCGTAGCTGGTAGGACACTTTATTATACAATGGTAATTTATGTATGGAAGTACATGTTATACAGATATTCTCCCTCGCTAAATCTGTAGATTTCGAACTTCCCCGAAAGGCATTTTACCATTGTTTGCATTTGCCTGTATATTTAGCTGCGTTTTATCCATAGTGCATATAATTATCTGTTTTCTACGGGCTGCAGGGGCACAGGTGGCCCAATCGTTTGCTCTGCAGTTGCCTCCCTTGTTCATGCTAGATTGTGGGTTCGAATCCCTGTTTGCCCTGATGATGTTTCTTGGTTTTGCGGCATCATGCCCTTGCTCGAATATTTCACCAAAGTGTTAAACGTCTAGACCTGCATCACTTCGGGCTTTTCTCCCACATTAAGCAGACCCACAGTTATATACTGCTCAAAGCGGCGTTAAACCCAGTGACTCATTGGAGTTTCCTTTTCATGGTTGCTTTTAAGGCAAACAGAAACCTTCTAGATGAAGTGACGAATCCTGTTATTTTGATTCGTCTTAAAGTATTTTCGGGAACAAATGCAGGATTCTGACAGTATCTTATTAAACACGTATTGATTTTACCGCATATAAAATCTCTCTCTCAATCTCACTCTGTGTGTGTGTGTGTGAGAGAGAGAGAGAGAGAGAGAGAGAGAGAGAGAGAGAGAGAGAGAGAGAGAGAGAGAGAGAGAGAGAGAGAGAGAGAGAGAGAGAGTGAGTGAGTTTAGTTTTACGCCGCACTCAGCAATATTCCAGCTATATGGCGGCGGTCTGTAAATAATCGAGTCTGGACCAGACAATCCAGTGATCAAGAGAGAGAGAGAGAGAGAGAGAGAGAGAGAGAGATCCACATTCCCACTCTCACCACCCCACTCTCACCACCCCTTATCGAATTCATCGTTGCAGTTGATTGGCTGCACCACAGCGAGATGGTCAACAACCGCCGTGTGAACCTGCAGATCTGGGACACTGCAGGCCAGGAGAAGTTCGAAGCCGTCATGCCAAACTTCCTCCGCTCATCCGCGGCGGTACTCCTCTGTTACGATGTCACAGACGTGGTTCGTACATATATATATTACCTACGAGGGCGAAAATATCGGGGTTCATATTTTTCATACGATGCTCTAGGGCAAAGTATCTCTTTGTCATGGTGACCTGACGTCACGAACAATGCTATGACGTCACGTTTCTTCTACGTTGCGTTCTCCATGCGGCGACGGCGGGTGGACAGACTATGTTTGAAAGTAGATTTGGGGTTATTTTCCTCAATTTGATGACGTCGGTAATAAACAGAATATCATATTCGTGCCCATATCATACTATGTTTACGACACTCGTGCCTAAATATCGGTATATCGCTCGCTCTCGCTCGGGAAATACCAACATTTAGTCACTCGTGTCGTAAACATAGTATGATATGGTCACTCATATAATATCCTCTATATACAATGCTATACTGTATGATGTCAACCATATACTTATTGAATGAGTGAGTGAGTTTAGTTTTAACCTGGGATCGTGGGCTGGGGTTCAGTGTTATTAGAAACCCATGAAGATCCGGGTTAGAATTGATCTCAGCAACCCATGCTTGTCGTAAAAAGCGACTAACGGGATCGACTTGGTCAGGCTCGCTGACTTGGTTGACACATGTCATCGTATCCCAAATCACGTAGATCGATGCTCATGTTGCTTGGTGGATTGCCTGGTCCAGACGCGATTATTTACACACCACCGCCATATCAACACAAACAAATTAACAAACACAAACAGAATTGCCCCGTATGTTGTCCATGTGCCAAATAGCTAGATTCGATTATCTCCTTTGTCACTAAACGCTGATGGTTTGTTTATAAAGAGGTCCTTTATGTCGAAGACGAAATGGCTAGAAATGATCAGAGGAGAGGTTCCGGATGCCCTGGTGGTCCTGGTGGCGACTAAAGTGGACAAGGCCGACAGGATTATCTCGGTACAGGTAAGCGGCTGTGAGGTAGACTAGTGGTTAAAGCGTCACGCCGATGACCCAGGTTGGATTACTCAACAAACATCAGTACAGACAGACACGGGGCGGTGGGATAGCCTAGTGGTTAAAGCGTTCGCTCGTCACGCCGAAGGCCCGGATTCGATTCTCCACGTGGATACAATGTGTGAAGCCCATTTCTGGTTTCCCCCGCCGTGATATTGCTGGAGCATTACTAAAAGCGACGTAAAATTAAACTCACCCACTCACTCACTCACTTTGTACAGGTAAGAGAAACAAGCGAACAGTTTCACGGATTAATGACGTTGATGAATACTAGTAAACTGCGCATTTCAGTTACACATTATACAGTTACCTCTACACAGATTTCTTGTTGAACCCACAGGGGCGACGGGTAGCCTAGTGGTTAAAGCATTCGCTTGTCACACCGAAGACCCGGGTTCGATTCCCCACATGGGTACATTATGTGTGAAGCCCATCTCTGGTGTCCCGCCCCGCGACATTGCTGGAGTATTGCTAAAAGCGGCGTAAAACTAAACTCACTCACTATATTCTCCACTCAATTATATTGAATCTGTATAATTCCATATACTCGACATAATTTTCAAGACTGTATAGCTTCGACAGAATACTAAATTGCATAATGACAGTCCCGCAAGTCGGTTATGTAGTCTATTGTAGCCTACATGTTCCGAAAGGCCCGGTTGGGTTGTTCTATGTTATACCGGAGTTCCATAGCGTTCCACGGACCAATACCTCCGCCCCCGTCCGTGATCTGTTTATCTGTGACCTCGCTCCTTTCTATATACCATTACACGGGCCACGAGTACACATATCTGTTACACTATACAGACTTTGATAACATCATCCTTCATATACTAGTATATAGATTACACACAAGCGTGATTCCGTGTAAGGAATCTAATGCATTTAACATTTTCTGTGTTTAGCCAATTAGGAAAATATTTCAGTTTTATTTTAAAACGTAATCAGGTCAAATTAAAAGAACACACATCACTGTTTTTGATCTTCAGCAACCCATGCTTGTCCTAAGAGGCGACTAACGGGACCGGGTGGTCAGGCTCGCTGACTTAGTTGACACATGTCATCGCATCCCAATTGCTTAGATCGATGTTCATGCTGTCGACCACTGGATTGTCTGGCCCAGACTTGATTATTTACAGACTTCCGCCATGTATATGTAATATTGCTGAGTGCGGCGTAAAACCATGAACCATGTTTTCATGCATTCTGTTTTAAACAAATCCTTTTACGTGATCGCCAAAACACATTGGACTGAACAAAATCACGTGTCCCAGATAGAGGAACATGAAGTGAAACAGGAATAATTACTCTGAACTTCCTGACTGTCTCACCACTATACGTAAAGGTCACCATGACAGATGGATTGTGGGTTATGAAAGCAAGAGAGGCTAGGAGACGATCTAGGCTATACACAACACATGGGCAGCGATGTGTGAATATACGTGCAGGATACATCAGGACGCGTGCAAACTGTCATATGAAAGAACATTATATTTACCACTAGTCAGTATGAAACTGGGTTGCTAGAGCTGAGACGTGATGAGACAGGGATGCTAGATATGAGACGTGATGAGACAGGGATGCTAGATATGAGACGTGATGAGACTGGGATGTTAGAGATGAGACGTGATGAGACTGGGATGCTAGATGTGAGACGTGATGAGACAGGGATGTTAGATGTGAGACGTGATGAGACAGGGATGTTAGATGTGAGACGTGATGAGACAGGGATGTTAGATGTGAGACGTGATGAGACTGGGATGTTAGATATGAGACGTGATGAGACAGGGATGTTAGATATGAGACGTGATGAGACAGGGATGCTAGATGTGAGACGTGATGAGACAGGGATGTTAGATATGAGACCTGATGAGACTGGGATGTTAGATGTGAGACGTGATGAGACTGGGATGTTAGATGTGAGACGTGATGAGACTGGGATGTTAGATATGAGACGTGATGAGACTGGGATGCTAGATATGAGACGTGAAGACTGAGACTGGGATGAGACTAGATGTGAGACGATGAGACTGGGATGTTAGATATGAGACGTGATGAGACTGGGATGCTAGATATGAGACGTGATGAGACTGGGATGCTAGATATGAGACGTGATGAGACTGGGATGTTAGATATGAGACGTGATGAGACTGGGATGTTAGATGTGAGACGTGATGAGACTGGGATGCTAGATATGAGACGTGATGAGACAGGGATGTTAGATATGAGACGTGATGAGACTGGGATGCTAGATATGAGACGTGATGAGAATGGGATGCTAGATATGAGACGTGATGAGACTGGGATGTTAGATGTGAGACGTGATGAGAATGGGTTGCTAGAAATATGAGACGTGATGAGACTGGGATGTTAGATGTGAGACGTGATGAGAATGGGATGCTAGATATGAGACGTGATGAGACAGGGATGTTAGATGTGAGACGTGATGAGACAGGGATGCTAGATGTGAGACGTGATGAGACAGGGATGCTAGATGTGAGACGTGATGAGACAGGGATGTTAGATATGAGACGTGATGAGACTGGGATGTTAGATATGAGACGTGATGAGACAGGGATGCTAGATATGAGACGTGATGAGACAGGGATGTTAGATATGAGACGTGATGAGACTGGGATGTTAGATGTGAGACGTGATGAGAAGGGGATGGTAGATATGAGACGTGATGAGACAAGGATGTTAGATGTGAGACGTGATGAGTCTGGGATGTTAGATGTGAGACGTGATGAGAAGGGGATGCTAGATATGAGGCGTGATGAGACAGGGATGTTAGATGTGAGACGTGATGAGACTGGGATGTTAGATGAGACGTGAGACGGAATGATGATGAGACTGAGACTGGATGTTAGATGTGAGGCGTGATGAGAAGGGGATGCTAGATATGAGGCGTGATGAGACAGGGATGTTAGATGTGAGACGTGATGAGTCTGGGATGCTAGAGATGGTTAGATGTGAGACGTGATGAGAAGGGGATGCTAGATATGAGGCGTGATGAGACTGGGATGCTAGAGCTGTGAAGTGATGAGACTGGAATGCTAGATATTTGAATTGATGAGATTGTGATGCTAGATTTGAGAAGATAGATTAGTATGCAAGAAATGTGAAGTGATGAGATTGTGATGCTAGATTTGACGAGTGATGAGATTGAGATGCTAAATATGAGAAGTGATGAGTAGGGCTGGATATTGCCCTGATTCTCATATTGCGATATATTGCAATAATTCAAGAGATATTGCATTACATATTGTGATATATTGACTGGAAGGTTTCTGTCCAAGTGGGTACATCATAAATTCAAAATAGCTCTCTGTGTGCGACATCGTCTTCTTAGTTGCTGTTACACCATATTTTCAGGCTCCCTGTCCCCATTGTGTGTGGGTGTATGCCAGTGGTGTACAGATAAATAATATAAAGCCTTATAGTCTGTTTGCAGTGAAAACGTACCGATGAATTTCACTTTAAACAAAAAAGTAAATCAAATTAAGTGAAATTAAGATTGCGAATCCTCATAATTTTACCTTGCCAATTGAACATTCAAATCTCAGAATTTTATTCAACTTGGGATAAAAGTTGTTTAATAAACGATCATAGATTCAAATCGCTATTATTGGTTTGTATTACAAGGGGGTAAGTGCATTAGATGGAACAGTGAAACAAATGCACGTGCGGTACGTGATGAGCGTTAATTAAGACTAGCCCTACTTGTTCTCGGTGTTTCATTTAAAGTCCATACCCCATTGTATTACAAACCAATAATAGCGATTTGAAACTATGATCGTTTGTTAAACAACTTTTATCCTAAGTTGATAATATAATTCCTCCAAAACGTCACATATGAAACCATTCAAACCCCAAAACTTAAATCATTTGGTAGATAATTGGCACTTTTGGAGCCACTTATAAAGACACTTCCACTTGTACAATGTTACTTGAAACAGAAAAGAAACAAAAGTATATTTGGCACTTTTGGAGCACATTTTGTTGCTATGGAAATCAAGGGCAGATATTTCAAAGGGAGCTAACTCTGGATGACCCAATATAGTGCAGAATCTGAACCATATCGCGATAATCGTATCGCGAGATACTATACCGGTATATACCGGTTTACTGGTAATAAGGCACAGCCCTAATGATGAGAATGGGATGCTAGAGATGAGGAGTGGCGGTAAAAGGATGCTGGGGGTGAGATGCGAATTGATTGTTCAAGATGAGGGGGTAATGATGGAATTGATTTTGAATCTCTTTTTGAAATACATGCTCAATGCCATTTGTATTTTGAGTTCTGACCTATCATTTCAGGACGGGGAACAGTTTGCCCGAGAAAACAGGCTACAGTACATAGAAACATCGGCGAAAACAGGACACAATGTTGATGGCCTCTTTTATGAGATTGGTAAGGAGAAATATCTACATGGAGTGTATTATACATCAATATGAGGTTTTGGGTGTTTGTGTGTTGTTGAATGCTACTGCCACAGCTTTATGGCGGCTCCCTGAAAGTAAACAGTCAAACGCTGCATGATGACACGCAATTAATCAATTAATGAGTCCTACCAACCAATCCACTTTATTGCTTTCAGCGACAAGCAGCATGCAAGGTTTGCTGGAGTGTGTGAGTGAGTGCAATGACGTTTTGACCAGGTGACAGCTGAAGGTTCAGATATATTACCCGAGAGTTTCCATATCAACTCAACTTCCAAATGCAAAGTATAGATTACAGGTCGCCAAGTAATCTTTTCCATGCCATAAATTAATGTATGTGCTGGTTGCGTAGGATGCAGGCAATGAATGTGTTTACTGGTTGCCAACGAAACACGTATAAGTTATAATGTGTGGGCTGGTTGTCAAGGAAACACGTTTACGCCATGTCGTGTGTGCTGGTTGCCAAGGAAACAAGTATACGTCATAATGTGTGTTCTGGTTGCGAAGGAAATATGTATACAAATGTACGTGATAATGTGTGTGCTGGTTGCCAAGGAAACACGTATGCCTCATAATGTTTGTGCTGGTCGCCAACGAAACACGTATACGTCATAATGTGTGTGCTGGTAGCCAAGGAAACACGTATACGTCATAATGTGTGTGTTGGTTGCTAAGGAAACACGTATACATCATAATGTATGTGCTGGTTGCCAAGGATTTACGCTTTACCATAAATGTGCGGGTTGGTTGAAAAAGAACCTCGTATTTTATATTGTTGTCTGTTTTGATTGCCGACGAATCACGTGCATGGCATGAAAATGTGTATTGTTGCCAAGGAATAATGTACATTTGTTTGTCAAAGTGACATGTCGGGGATGTATGTGGCATATACCTGGGAGCATGACATGGATGTATGTGACAGCTACCGGGCAAGATGTCATGATATAGAAGTATGTGTCAGTTATTTGTCAGCCTGTCTAATATGTACGTGACAGTTACCATGAATGTAGGTGACAGTTACCAGGCAACATGTCATGAATGTATGCAACATTATTATACAACATGACATGGTGTATGTGTCAGTTACCAGGCAACATGTCATGAATGTATGCAACAGGTACAAGGCAACATGGCATAGATGTACATGACAGTTACTAGGCAACATGTCATAGATGTATGTGTCAGGTATTTGTCAACGTGTCATAGATGTTAGCTACAGTTACCAGGCAACATGCCATGAATGTATGTGACATTTACCAGGCAACCTGTCATAAATGTATGTATCCGGTATTTGACAACATGTCATGAATGTATGTGACATTTACTAGGCAACATGTTATGAATGTATGCGACAGTTACTAGGCAACATGTCATGGATTTAGGTGTCAGTTACCAGGCAACATGTCATGAATGTATGTCACAGTTACTAGGCAACATGTAATGGATGTAGGTGTCAGTTACCGGGCAACATGTCATGAATGTATGTGACAGTTACCAGGCAACATGTCATGAACGTATGTGACAGTTACCAGGCAACATGTTATGAATGTATGCGACAGTTACTAGGCAACATGTCATGGATGTAGGTGTCAGTTTCCAGGCAACATGTCATGGATGTGGTGTCAATTTGTTTCAGCTGCACGGGTTGCAGGCATGTGGACGATGAACTACGCCAACGCCAACGAATTCCACCCCATCACCATTGAAGAAGATAGGAAAGCCCGGAAAAAATGTCAGTGTTGATCGACGTCTTGTGTAGTATTTGTTGGGCACGCTTGGCATCTGTGAGACATCTCATAAGGGAGACTAGATCTTGAAAGAGATCATTATGGCAAGGAACATTAATTCACATTTAATGCTCATACTGTTGATCACTGGATTATACTCGCCCAAACTCGATTATTTACAGACCACCGCCATATAGCTGGAATATTGCTGAGTGTGGCGTAAAACAACAAAGAAATATTGGATATTCTTATTAATGAATGGCTTTTGTCAAGAACCCTTGACGTTTTATGTAGTAAAATGTTGAGTTCAGGCTCACCAGTGTTTCATTGTTTATTGCTGGAAGAGGTAACCGAGGACACGCCCTCATTCTACATAGTTTATGGATGCACGTTTAACCACCGCCGTTCCAACCCAGACCAATCGCACAAATCAGTGTCGTTTCATGGCCTCGATTCACCAAAACAGAATTGATTCAAGATCTACGATGATTTTTCAAGGACAATTTCAGCAGTTTCAGATCGTCTTTATGTCAAGGACTTGGGGGCTTAAATTGTCGGAGATGGGGGCTTGGAACGTTCAGCTGTACAAGACAGACCATAAGACTAATGACATGCAACAACCATAGTGACCAGACATATGACAGTCCCAGAACTGATAGCGTGAACACCTCTCCAGATGACCATCGTCTACGCAGCCAGTAAGCTGGACCCCGTCTCGCATATAACGTTAGCGCGCGCAAAGGGAGCCGGGAACCAGCTTACGCAACCAGATGCTCATCAGCAGGACGGTCTACTCCCATTTGTGAGAACTCCCAATTGTGAGACTCCCAGTTATGAGACAGTGGAGTAGGTAATTAACAAAGAAAACACACCATACTCCCCTGTCTGATAGAATGGATTAACCCTAGCTAATTACTGATTTGCTATGTAACTGAATCTTGTGGAAGTCTTAATGAAACTTTAAACGATAAATTGATTAACATGCACTTTTTGTAGGTAACTTCGTGATCATTTGAAAGAGAAATTAATTTACCTACTCAGATTTACATCCGTCTCCGAAACTACAAGATATAGTTTCAGAAAAAACTCTGAAATACAAGTTTACAGTCGAACTGCCTCTTATGTCAAATCCTTTTTACCCGGCACTTCCCGTTATAACCTGGATACCATATTGAACGGAAACAAAGAATTTACTCCTTGTGTAAACCAGAAAATAGTTGAATCTGTCCACGATTATATCATCAAGACACAACGCTTCAAATTTTCTCAGGAAAATACTTAAATTAACTCAACAACCTTCTCATGATTGATTTATATTCCTACAATAGTTTGTTAGACACACACAACTGTAACTCTCTAATTATGACAACTTAGAGAATAGTTGTATTTGATGACGTCACATCCTCCATTTCATTTTGTATTTTATGTTGCATGGGAGCCGTGTTAACATAAGCTGTAATGCTTGCTCACCAATCCCAATTCATTTTCATAAATAATAATAAAATATGTTTAAACCAAAATGACTTTCAAACTTCAAAATAGTCTATTTTTTCTGTGTAAATAGAATCTTTGATAATCTATTTCATTAATCTACTCATCAATGACTCCTGTGGGTACTCTTCAACAACTGGGCTGATCCCACTTTCATTGTAGGGATGTGGAAACACCACCCATGTGCACTGAACCATTAAGTAAAGTGTCTCACAACTGGGAGTTCTCACAAATGGGAGGACACCAACAGGACACACTGAAGGGACGACCGCGTGCTGTGTGCATCCGGGTCTATCAAGCATTTCGGGGCATGTCATTAATCCGTCAACATCGACCGAATCGTCTACGTTGCCATAGGAACGTAAGGTTCTGGTAACGTCTCGACTGGGTACGATATTTGGCAACACGTACACAATCAACGACGGGAACTTTAAATATTTTGAAAAAGTGTCAAAGATTGTGACTTGATGCATGTATGTGTGTATGTATGCGTGTGTGTTGAATACGTAAGGTTGGTTATTTTAATGGTTATATCAATATGGTGCGGTGCGGTGCCCAACCGTGGCTGAAACCTATCCTCACGCCGAAAACACGGGTTCGATTTACGTATGGGCAGAGTGTGTGAAGCACATTTGCCCCCAGCGTGACTGGTAAAACCCAATCACTCAATCAGACTTCTCAGCGATGGATATGAACTTACCACTGTTGAATAGCACTACTTTCAAGTATCGTTCACACAATCCCACATTTCCTCAAAACATAACATACATGTATGTAAAAAAGTACCTTAAACCCTTAAAAAATACCCACTAATATTGTTGGTTTAGTGTAATAAGATATACCGAAAAAAATATACACTGAAAAATAGGGTTTTGCACGATCATAAACGTTAAAACATGTCTGAAAACATTTGCCGAAACACAACAATCCGAATCTGAATCCACGAGTAAGATACCGCTATTTAAAACATTGTTATCGAATAGGCATATCTGAATTTCATACTATTTGATCATCAGTCTATCATAACATGTACTCCACTGATTTATCCAGTTTCAGGTAAATCATTGTTACAAACAGATCCGTAATTAGAATATAACCCAAATCCTTGAACAAATGTCGAGAACATTTCCCCCGAGCGGATGATGAATAGACACTCTCTTCTTCAAGACCGCCTCGCCTGAGCTTCAGTTTCTTGGGAATTGGAAGTGTTCACTGTTTATTGAGAATGAATATGCGTAGTAAGATGACCACTATCGGTCTAAAGCGTGAAACTACCGATATCTGGGGCCGTAATTGTGAAAATTGTCAGAGTGCTTAGACTCAAATAATTTATTTCTCGAATGATTAATCATGGCTATTCTTTTCCAGAACACTTCCTCGGTGTCGTGTTGATCATCACTTGGTTCTGGTAAAGTGACACTGGTTAGAATGTATTAATTATTATATATTCCTATTAATTTCAATTCCTGCGATACGGTTCATTAAAAGTAAAGATTGTTACTGTAGATATGTATGTTTGATAACTTACGCATTTGGGATACGATGTGTCAACCAAGTCAGCGAGCCTGACCACCCGTTGTATGTCAAACCTATTTTATGAAATTCGTTTAAGAATTCATGTATTACCCTCGCTCTCGTTCGGTAAAAACAAAAATTCAGTGTGACCAAAATGTTCGTATAATAGTATCTGTGTGTTTTGCAGAGAGCCTGATATCGGCATTGGTCCACAGTAAACCACTCGTACTTAATGATAAAAAGACAGATAGAGGGTCTTTGCCTTGAATAATATCGAATGGTTATGAATTAATTACATCGCATGAAACCAAGTGAGGATACATAATTACACGTAAATCGCACTGTAGATCTGGAGATGCAGAATAACAAGAGACTCAAGAAGAAGTAAAACTGACCAAGTTTTTTACCGGATTACCTGTGGACATTTAGGTAGGATTACAAACCTTGAAGCTCTATTGTTTTCTTACAATAACATCTTAATTACCATCCGCAATCAACAAAGAAGTGAGAATTTTATAACCGGTTAACAGATCTGATACGTGCTTTGTACAACTTAAAACGAGATACCTTGTGCTTGTTTTAACCAGTGCCTGTTTTAACCAGTGCCTGATAACGAGCGTCGTGAAGGAAGGGAAATAACTCTGATTTTCAACCCTAACTTGTCACACGGAAGGAAAGTTTGGGACCTGGAAATACCCAGTTGTCATGGTCATACACGGAAGCTTGGCGTGATCCATGAGCTGACAGGAAATCAGTCGACAATTGGTCGCTGACAGAGTCACTTTGAAAGCACTAACTGAAATGGCGGTTTTGTCAGTGAATGTTACGCGTCTATGATAGGACGTTCAGTCATTACTAGATCAGCTGATGAGTGACAGCTGGCATTATTAGTCATATCTCAACAAACGTGACAAGATGATCAACGCAGATTTAACATCTCCATCAAATTCACGTAAGTAGACGATGACAGTGAACTGTTTCCTCGTGGTCTCTGGTTTCCTCGTGGTCTCTGGTTTCCTAGCATTCATACGAAGACATTGTTAGGATATATCCCGAAACTGCGTGTTTCCCGTGTATGAATACAGCTGACATCCATAAATACCCCCACCCCACCCCCATTTCTAAATGACAATCAAAGACTTTATGATTCAATCAGCTGGTTGTAATGTCAGTATTCAAACAGCTAGACCTCTGCTGGCTGGAACCCCGTTTATCCGGATCTGTGTACAGATAGACACAATCGTGGCGGTAGCTGGTTGTATTAATATGCAAAGTTCTTGGCAAGATAAGCAAGTACCTTGATTAAAAAACTGTAAGTGTTCAAAGGATTTATTCATTATATAACCTAAATAGTGCATAATATTGTATTTGTAAATTTGTGTTAAATTTGGTTATTGATAAACAGGGAGGTGAGAAAATCTTTTCACTTGCTCACTTGAATTGGGAGTATGTATACCACTTTACGAGGCCCACTTTTCAGATTTCAGTTCTTGCTGTGTAGGGGATCGAACTTGAGTTGCCGACTTAAAACAAAGCTAGACTAATGAATTAATCTAATTATCCAACACTTTACAATGGGGTCACAAGTTCGATCACAACAATTAGCCCTTTAACACCAGACTGTATGGATGCATATGCTCTTTTAGCATAAAACTAGGAAACTGTACACTTTTTTCTCCAATTATTTTGGATTTATCTCCCCTTATCAAATTTAATTTGGGTATGCTGTTTTAATTGGAGATAATGTTGATACCCTCTGGTAACATATTTTTTTTATTTTTGAATATTAATCTAGTGTGAATTTACTATATAAACATCATTTTATAAAAAAATCGTGTTATTATAAAAATCATTTTTTCATTGATGAATCAATGTTTTTTTTAAATTCCTGTGTTTTTAGAAATTAGTTAATGTGTCAAATAATTTCATATCAATACTGACATATCTTTATAAGAAAACACATATTGAATAATAAAAGTAAACAATTTACTTTTAAGAGAACTTTTATTGACATATTACTTTTTCCAGACGGTGCCACAAGGGGGCACCACTTGTCAAACAAATGCCATGGTGACTTGCTATTTTTATTACATAATTAGATTCGGGACACAATTTTCTGCAAAATGATACAAAATTTAGTAATTTCTTGACATTTTGATATTTAGTATGTAACTTCCTTAATTTCAGGAAATGACTGTGAATTAGTGCAAATCTTCCGTTGTCTCTTACCTACTTCGCCAGTTGAAATCACAAGTTAAATGAAGCTTTATCTTAACTTATAAAAGATTTACAGTCTGAAAGAATGCCTCTTTGTCAGAATGTAATGCAAGAATGATGAATTCTGTTCATCATTTTCACATTACCGTTTCCCTTTGAAATAAATAAATGCATAGAAACTTAACATCAGAAACTTGTTGAAATTTTACGTATATGCACAGTGACACATGTTTTACATTGCCATGTGAACACACACAACACAAAGTTGTTATTGACATATCATTTCTGAATGACATGTTCCCAATACATAAGACCCGTGAAGATCCGGGTTAGTATTGATCTTCAGTAACCCATGCTTGTCGTAAGAGGCGACTAACGGGATCGGGTGGTCAGGCTAGCTGACTTGGTCGACACATGTCATCGGTTCCCAACTGCTTAGATCGATGCTTATGCTGTTGATGACTGGAATGTCTGGTCCAGACTCGATTATTTACGGACAGCCGCCATATCGCTGGAATATTGCTGAGTGTGGCATAAAACTAAACTCACTCACTCACTCAAAATGATTTGAGTGCTGCCTTGCTCATGGGTAGAGATATTTTTTTCAGGAACAGTTTAATTGAGCCTGTTCTCTAAAGAAATCAGTTATCAAATCTTGCCTGACTGAAAGTCAAAAAAGTTTCTGTTGTTTTACATTGTCTTCAGAATACTGATTTCAAACATGGCCTCCACGGCAGACATGTTTAGAAACTACTTTTATCTCAGTCATTACTATATGTATCATTATGAAGTTTTATATGCAGTAAGTGTATAAAGTGTGTTATAACGTTTGATACAGGTGTTCAAATATTTTGATTTTTGGTCAAGCAAAAACTTTTATCATTCTTGTGGAGATATCTTCCCCTGTGAGTGTAACAACAAAATGGTGGAAAGTCCTCAAGGGTTCAGTACATTTTCATGACCTTTAGAAATGGTTGAATTTTCAGGAAAGACTATAGATTTCCAAGAAAGACTATACTTGGCACAAAAAATGAAGTATGTCAGGTCTTTGTAAATACACTTGAAATAATAATGTACACAAAAATGCATTAAAAAAAAAAAATGTGTCAACAATATATTACATATTTGGCTGCAATTTTGAAAAATATGGGATAGGTATCAACATCATATTATTATCAATAGTGAAAGTAAACTAGATGTTAATGGCCATGCTGTATAAATAGATAACTAGTTCATCGTGATATTTTAAACAGGACCCAAATAGCTAGATAACCTTGTAGCTAGATAACCTTGTAGCTAGATAACCACATAGCTAGATAGCCTTGTAGCTAGATAACCACATAGCTAGATAGCCTTGTAGCTAGATAACCACATAGCTAGATAGCCTTGTAGCTAGATAACCATATAGCTAGATAGCCCGATAGCTGGATCGGCAGGTATCACCAGGAAGAGAATGCATCACTACCTACGGTACTGTACGGATACAATAAGGAAGTCCTGCATCACTACACCCCTAAATGAGGATAATGTTGAATTGAGACCTTTAGCACTTTCACCACACAAAATGACTGTGTTACCCAAATTTACTAACGTCAGGAAATACTCGTTTCATCCGGCGGCCATATGAACAACTTTTGAAATCTACGTATCATCTGGCCGTCAGATTTACACACGTTTAAAGGGGTGTTAAAATAAACGAACATTCAACTCTTCATTTACATGTATTTCACAGGTGTGTAAATCTGGCCATTGTTTGCATGTGTTTCCTAACGTGTGTAACATATGTAAATGCTGTGATTGTAGGACATGCATTTCAATACCCTTGAAATCTCGTATGACCAGGGTTAGGTTTGTCATATATTTAGTACATGGTAAATGGTTGGTAATGGGTAAATAGAGTGTTACAAGATTGACACTACTTTAACATGTATTTCAATGGTTCTGTAATATAACTCTCACATAGGGTTCGTTAGCACGTCCGACCACACCATAATGTACTGAGATAATTAGAAACACATGGTGAAGTGATACCCATGACTGAACACCACTAATAACGTGCGTGTCTTTCTTGACATACACATGATGTCTGTTTAAAAGGTTCAAATATCGGGTCTATGGGCCAGAGCGATATGTATGTTAGGGAGTGTGTGTGTGTGCGAGGGAGCGGGTGTGGCATGGGGTAGGCCTAGGGTGGGGTTGTGGCTGTGGGTCGGTGTTGGGGTACTGATAAGTCTTTCTGACCAGTAGGTAATATCGTTTATACTTTTTGTAATGGAAATTACATAACAATTTAAATAACTGACCTTAGGTACACTTCTTATATATGCTGTACAAGGAGACACTGTTAATTACAATAAAACACAGACAGATGTGTTCAGACAGACATGAACCGGTAGGTCCCTAATTTTAGTGCTCACTTGTATGAGTTATCCGACTGATCATAACAGAACAAATTTCATTATCTATACTTTCATAAAAGATGATTACAATGTATTAATGATTCCCGGTGTAAATTACTGTTGTAAATGTGTGAACATGCACATACTTGGTATGACCTCTTTTTGATTCGGAATACAGGTATTATCCCATACGGACGTTTTCTCAAATTTTAGTTACACGACTGAATATACTGTAGACCTATTTTGTTTCCATCTCTTGGGTAGACTATAGAAAATTGTAGTGATTGCAATTAGCTTATAATTTTCATAATAGACCTATTTTGTTTCCATCTCTTGGGTAGACTATAGACAAGTGTAGTGATTGCAGTTAGCTCATAACTAAGCAGTTTCGATAATTATTGAAAGCTTACTACCTGACAGCATTTATGTTGCTCATGCGTTTTCTTTTTTGCTGTCTAATTTGTTATACATTATATAATTATGTTAATCATTTTGGCATCTCAATATCATGGAATATAATGTGTACTTATTAATCTATCAAAGTACCGAAACGTATTATATGTATGCTTTACTGTTATTGGGTGAACCTGTTAAAAGTACCTTCGTAAAGAATTTCCAGGAAATAGAAACTGAAAATTACTAGATAAATGGAAAACTAAATTGGATAAAGATTGCAAACAATCATTATTTATATTCCTTTTTTAAATTATCAGTGTGCAGATCATGTCACTAACATAAAAACTGAAGGATATATGGTGACAAAACTTGAATGTATAATAAATGTACCAATGTATATTCTTTAACAGTATCAAGGAATGATGGGGTACGCTCGTGGTTAAAGCGTTCGCATTTCAGGTCAAAAACCGGTGTTTGATTCCCGACATAGGCACATTAAGACTGAAAATATATTATTATGATGTAAGGCAAAGATCTTAATTTCAATTGAAAAAAAGAGACGAAGATTCACAGACTAACAACATCTATATTGGGGCTACAGGTGCAGGAAGCATCTTCAATTATAAAATCACATTCCACAAACATCAGATAAAGGTTTAAATGACAAGCATATTTATTTGTATCTTGCCAAGCTCTGTCCTCTCTCAATGCAGTATACCAGAGTGCTGTGATCACTACCTCAGGTGGCCACATTCAGCCATCCCATTACTTTACAGTATTGTCTTACAGACATATATATTAAATAAAATAAAATAAACTTTTACGGGTATGGAAAGAGTGGGGGGAAACACAAGCAAAGTATTAGTCAGCTGAGATTATCCTTCAAACACATCATATGTACAACAATCACTTATCATTATATGCAACCAAAGCATTAAAAAAAGGCCATATTTCCAGACAGCATAACATCACCTTTGGCCGGAGTTCCAAATAATTTGACACCCAAAGCCTGTCAGTTAACGCAAAGGAAATAACCCTTGTGTTTTGAAATGATGCCTTAATCATAGTCACAATGAAGTGTAGGTTACCATGCATGTTCTAGTCTGTGTCACAGTCTCTGAACCACATTATTTTCCTTACTGCTTAGTCTGTCTTACAGTCCCTGAATCACATTATTTTCCCCACTGCCAAGCCCTCTCTGCAATGCTAAAGCCTTAAAGGAAGCAAGTCTAGATCTCCTCAGGCCGAGGGTCTATTAACATCTGCAAGAAACCTAACTCACTTTGGGGGTCGGGTTACAAAGTAAACATATCTAACTGCCATGGCTGGCCAGACTGAATCTCGTGTCTCACTGGGGCTCCTTTTCATTTTAAATGGGTTTGTTTGTTATTATCAAAATTATATATATTCAGACACTAAGCGTTAGTCTATGTATTTTTCAACATGATGGAAATACTAATATTTACCAAATAAAATTCTAAAGGAGCCTTTCTTCAAGCAGTGACTTAACGCCATACATAGCTAGACTTGCTTAGATTATAGACTTCATATAAGGCATCATAGATATTTCACAAACATGGTACAGGACCCTCAGCCTCATTAGCTTATTGCCTCACCACTTGCGAATTAAGCATTGGCAGATGTAAATGTTACTGGAGATGTTGGTCCCGCCAGCTGTGGGTGTTTGGTATGGCATTCTATAACCCGAACTCTGCAGTGAGTTTTCCTGGAGAGGGAAGGGGAAAAACTATCGTTCTGTGACTGTGATACAGGCTGGGACAAGATATGGAAAAATAAACAATTTGGACAACAAACCATTGTTTGGGTCTTTTAATTGTAAATATGATTCAAATAGCTTAACCTAGATTTCGATATCCTCCGAATGTACATTTGGTTGAAACTGGAAAATATACATTTATCCCGAGAAAAGGATGAATGTTTATATATAATTAAAAAAATATAACAGCACTAGTATCCATTTCGTCTTTTGTCTTCTATCTGTCAGAACTAGATTAACAACTAGTCTCTGATATGAACATATTTTACAGAAAAAAAGTTCATAGTAAAAAAAATATATAATATAATGAAAAGGAGCCTTGAGACCTTCTCCTGAAGCTGTGGAAATCTAGACTTGCCACATTTTGTAGACTTGCGTGGACTTGGATATATTTGCTTTAGGGCCTGTATGACAGACTACGTCCCAACATACACCCAGTCACATGTGTCTCCAGAGGCGTGTTCAGAACCGCGAGTGCCCGCGAATGCGAGCGAGCTCTCGATCCTGAACGCCTGTGCCCGTTCGAGCGTCCGCGCGCGCACTCGAACCATTCTCACAAGCGAACCAAGATGGCGATCATGTTTAATGTCATTCGTCACCACTCGCCCCTTTCCGTAACCTCCAAAAAGAGTGAGGGATCAGTGAGTGAGTTAAGATTTAAAGTCACATCGGCAATATTTCAGCCATATCGTGACTAAAACTAGTTCTAAATTTATAATACATACATATAATATATAAAACCCTGTCAACGAAGGACAGTAAAACCACTAGATTATCACAGATTGAGTTAAAACTAGCTAGCATATATCTTTAAAAGTAGAAAATTATTTCCGGACAATACAATGTGAAATTGGGCTATATATTGCCAACAACTGAAGGTAGATCACAATACTAGGGACCATGGGTACTTACAGTGCCTTTGCTACCTGCATGGAACCTCCAAAAAAGAAGGCATGGAGGATATTTTGTTAATGTTGTCAAATAACATGTATATTTCATCGAGTGGTCTGACAAAGTTAATATGTTCACGAGTGGCGTAACCATTGACAACATTAACAAAATATTCCTTTATTATATTTTGATCATTGTTTATAAATGATCGAGACATCGATTTCGTAGTTCGCGTTTCGTAGTTCCAGGCAAAAGTGATATTCTACTCAGTGAAAATGAAAATACCATTTTTCTTTTCACCAATATTTACAGTATTTCACCCTTAGGAATATAATAAAAGAAGCTATCTGGCTTGTCCCGGAACAACACGAGTTGGTCACGAATGGTTTATTGTAACCAAGCGCTCGCGTCCGTTCAGGGCCGATGCGAACGCTCGCGGGAGGCAATCGCGCGGGCGCTCGCGGTTCTGAACACGCCTCAGGTCAAGGAGAATCAGTGGTTTAGAGGCCCGTATTGCAATTCTCGTGCGTTTGCCAGGCGCGTAGCAAGCCAATTGTTTCGTGTCTAAGCCCTATGGGCTGCAAAGCCTTATATTTAGGTGGTATTGAGGGTTTGCCCAACTTTCATTTTTTATGAAACCTGAAGAGTTATCGTTTGACGTTTGATGATTTCAATAGCTTCAAAATATTGTGGAAAGACTTCCGCCTGTATACCCCCTTAAATTTCATTCTAGTCAAATCATATCACCTGAATATATATTCCTCATCTGATAAGGATGAGCCTGAGTTATAATGTGTTTTGTTAATTGTATCTGAACATACTGAAAGACATATTCTACTTCTAAAAATGCCACTCAAAGAAAGTTTTCCTCATCGTTAAAATTTAGGGGGATACTAACGGAAGTCTTACCACCATGTAATTGAAATGTGATTTCCTCATATACAAATATGTTTGGACATAGTTTACACATGTCTGCTGCATTGATACAATACCATACACCGAGTATTTGGTGATTTTTCTAAAATAAATGATAAACAAATGAAAAATAAACATTCACATATAATCATGACAGTAACAAAACATCCACATACATGTCGATGGAAAAACAATCATCACTGAAAGTTATGATATGAAGAATAACCTGTTTACTGTACATGGTAATGCTTTAATCAAAGAATACTGTAGTCAATATGATTCATAGAGGGATTTCCACTTTTTAAATGGAACGTGTTTGTAGGTATTTTTGGCAAGAATCAGAAGAGCTGTTTTTATAATGGTAGGTACGCCCCTGTTTGCATGTGTTGTTGACGCGGCATGGACGCCTTGTAACATCACTATTTGATTATGATTCACAAACACATGCCATGATATGCTCGGAATCGTGCCAAGGTTTAGCAGATATTTATCATGAAAACAGTGTTTTTTGTAGGTGGCTTAAAAATCGCTTTTACAAAGGCCTATAGGTTCGATCACAATACATTTCGTTTTACAGCTTCTTTTTTCATAACATGCTCAAGTCAAAACTGATTTAAATTCTAATCGCAGATTAAAGAATAACACAATAAATAGTATGCCAAATTATCGTTACCATGACAACCCTGTGATATTTCACCTTATGCAAGAGAGTAATGCAGATGATACTGTCGGCCGTAAATGTTTATAAGTTGCTTCATCGCTATCAGTAATCACTGGGTATCTATACAATTATATGTGTGATCAAAGGCCATTATGATAGATTATATGGTCTCTGGTGTAATGGAGGAGAACTTGCATCGCTAGTTTTCTCAATAATCTGAACACATGTATGTTGCGTGAAACCGGCAGATACCTTTAGAAGAAAGTGTTTGTCCTACCCGTAACAACGATGTCCCGTGTCTATAAAAGGGATATAATGTTGGGATGAATGACATGTACTTTTATCTTGGCCCGTTAATTATGATACATACTGCGATCTTTCACAATAATCCCTCTGGCTATCAGATTGAGGGTACGTTTTAAACATAACCGGTATTTCTATTATTGTATTTATAAAGTTCTTTGAATGTTCTCCATATACGTCCGTCAGATAGGTCGCGCACTACCCTTTTCTCTTCTCAAACGACTGTTACAAGTTCGAAAACTCCTGGTCAAAGTAGAAAAGTCTTAAGACTATTCCCTACAATTCTGTAACTTACACATTGTACCCTAAATGGGTAGAGCTTCCGTTCGGGGGAATATCAGAAGGACAACGATACAGTTATCTCTAATGTTGTAGAAAGCACTCCACTTACTTAGGAAAACAATAGCCCATGTCGGAATGATATTTTCAGCCCCTGTCAGATCTGAACTTGAACATGCGAGATCTGCGTGTGTGTCAGGCTAAAGGCCTACAAGATGTTTAGCAAAACTGGGGCGTAATAGCCATAGACCTTCTCCTAACAAGGGAATATATATCTTGTGAGAATGACTTCTCCGAGAGGGAAATTTACAGCAATGCGACATCACAATTACTTACGTGATATTTACTCGCAATCTGAGTTTATGGATCGTCAATTTAAACAGGACAATCAAGACGAATTTCACAAAAGGGACAGAGATCCAACATGCCTATGATATACTCAGAGAACGCACCCCTGTGCTATCCGGTCATAATTGCTACATGATAAACACAATTTCTCATTTCATGTCTCACAGAATATATAATTTGATATGGCATTGTTTGTTATCGTCATTATACTTTTAGCGTTAGTGAAACAAATGCGGACAACTTTAAAGTTTATGTATGGCGTTATTACAGCAAAGGCTGAGCGAATGGAGAAATAACATTGTTCAGGTACTGTGAGACTATTAAGGAAGGTCACATGCAGTGCAATATATAATATTCCAATAATGTACTGTCAAAAGGACCGCCTCCGTGGTGTAGTGGTTAGAGCGTCCGCCCGGAGAGCGGAAGGTCGCGGGTTCGACCCCCGATCGCGTCATACCAAAAGACGTTAAAATATGGTACTTGTTGGTCCCTGCCTGGCGCTCCGCATTAATGGGTACAACAAGGTCTGGTCGGCTCGGAGTCAGTATAATGTGTCTGAGTGGGGTATTCCTGCTTCACTGCGGCATGGTATCTCAGTGGGCTAACGCTATAAAACCAGCTTAAGTCTGGGCTAGTACAAGCAGCCGCACATACACATACACACGCATGCACGTCGTCATATGAGCGAAATATTCTCAAGCACGACGTTAAACCCAATTCCACCACCACTGTCAAAAGAACGTTACAGTAGTGATGCGCGAGCAGAACAGACTTAAGAAATTTCGAGTTGGTACGTGTGGTGTATTTGGCTGTGATCCAAGAGAGATAAAGTGCTATTCTATTGGGACAGCTGGGACACTTGCGAGGACAAAGGGGCAACGCATCGCCCTTTGTTCACCACTGAAGCTTTTAATCCCTCGAAACATGCACCTCACAAGATTTGCCAACACCACAGACAAGGCGTAACTGATACTGGTAGCAAGAGCGAGTGCAGCTTAATAAGGCGTGTTAGCTTGCGTAATACAGCTTTCTTTGTCAGGCTCTTTTGGTGATAAGAATATTGAGGTCATGTGAACGTTGATTTCAAACGTAATAAAATGTGTGAAAATGAAATTACATGAACCAAGTAATTCACATGATGGAAACATATGATCATCTTGCTTGAGCACAGGTAACATGAACTTGTATGAACCGTTCATATACATACCCCTGAAATCCGGTATGATACATAAATATCTAAGGTGTGTAAATATTTGCAAATTTGAAAATTTACATGTATTTCCCCACCTAAGTAAATTCACATGTTTCCAACCCGAGTAAACTTAGAACGAAATCGGAAATTTCAGCACCCATTGAAATTCAAAGGAATGCATTGGAAATACTGTATGATCATGTATTTCCCGTGGTATCTATTTTGCAAGTCATGTTTGGAAATCCCTGACAATCCGGTCGGGTCATACATGAACGAGGTGCTTGTGCATACGAAAATGTACGATGAGCATATGTTTCAAAAGTATAGATTCATATGAAATATATGCCCGAAGTTAGGAAATATCTGAAAACATACGTAAATCCGGTCATGGCATGTATTTCCTACTGTATTTACGTTTATTTCAATGGTTTACTATCCGGCTTTTGGTCCTGTGTTTGGTTATTTGGTGAGTGAGTTTAGTTTTACACCGCCCTCAGCAATATACCAGCTATATGGCGGCGGTCTGTAGATAATCGAGCCTGGACCAGGACCAGACAATCCAGTGATCAACAGCATGAGCATATATCTGCGCAATTGGGAACCGATGACATGTGTCAACCAAGCCAGTGAGCCTGACCACCCGATCCCGTTGGTTGCCTCTTACGACAAGCATGGGTTACTGAAGGTTCATTCTATCCCGGACCTTCACGGGTAAGGTTTCTAGAGAGTCTAATCTTTTTAGACTGGTGATACTGTGGGATAGCCTGGTGGCTTGTCATTGGAAAGACCCGGGTTCCATTCCCCACATGGGCACAATGTGTGAAGCCCATTTCTGGTGTCCCTTGCCATGCTATTGCTGGAATATTGCTTCAAGCACGCACTTAAAAGACTGGGTAACCTGTGATCCCCAGTGTGTAATGCTCTTGCATATACTGTATTTATATTTGTTGATGAAATGACTGTTGTCATCTGACAAGCTGACCGTACCTACATTGAGGAAAGTTTCAGTGAGGTAGAACACAACTATTTTAATATCAAATTGATAGTTATCAAACAACTATATTTTAATACCAGCTATTTGTAATAAATCTTTGTTGCATGACTTCCTCCGTTACCCAGGTAGTGAATGAGTGAGTGAGTGAGTTTAGTTTTACGCTGCACTCAGCAATATTCCAGCTATATGGCGGCGGTCTGGAAATAATCGAGTCTGGACCAGACAATCCTGTGATCAACAGCATAAGCATCGATCTGCGCAATTGGGAACCGATGACATGTGTCAACCAAGTCAGCGAAACTGACCACCCGATCCCGTTAGTCAGGTAGTGAATGAATGTGGTTGACCAAGATTATAGAATTTATAGCATCATCATTACTGAGAAGACATTTTGGGATGGTCCTGTGCATAGAACTCAGATCACAAATCAGTTGAAGTTAAGCAACGTTGGGCGTAGAGAGTCTTGGATGGGTGACTGTGTTCGGCAGCTTGATTCCTTGAGTTTCTAGGACTTCAGTCCTACCCCACCATGAAGCATGTTTGATACATGTAGTCGCACATTAGGCAAGTGAGTTAGTTCAAAATTGCCTCTGTTCACCCAGCAGAAAATGGGTACCCGGTGGGAAATATCTAACACTATAACCTTCTAGTGCCTTACAGCTTGGGTTATCCTTGGTAATAATGGACTGTCTGCGCTATGAGCATGCTGATGGTGCTGATTTAGCGCAATATAAATGAACTTATTATTTATTATTTATGTAAATGGACTAATTATTATTATTTATGACATGATACAGCAGAAAACCAAAACCAAGATGCAAATTATTATGTGATTTATGACATGATATTCAGCATATGGGGAAGTTACCAAAACCAAGATGCAATTGTAGTCTCAATAGTGTTCATTGTAAAGGATGTGATGGTGGTTTGGTACTCAACCACATCAAATTCTAGTCAATCTTCAAGGTGGTAACAGATATGGGTGAAGTTATGCACTCAAATATTGCTATGGTGGTGGTATTGTAAGTCCAGTCAACAACAGCATGAGCATATGGTTTGTATTCATTGTAAAGGATTTAGTTGTCTGGTTTGGCCTGGTTTGAGTCAATATTCTAAACTGGATCAACCACATCAAATGGTACATGTCACTGTGGTCTGTGTATGTAAACATGAGCAGGCAACCCCTGGTACATGTCACTATGGTCTGTGTATGTAAACATGAGCAGGCAACCCTGGTACATGTCACTATGGACTGTGTATGTAAACATGAGCAGGCAACCCCTGGTACATGTCATGGTCTGTGTATGTAAACTGTGGTACATGTCACTGTGGTCTGTAAACATGAGCAGGCATGACCAACCCCTGGTACATGTCACTGTGGTCTGTGTATGTAAACATGAGCAAGCAACCCTATGGTCTGGTACATGTCACTGGTACATGTCACTGTGTATGTGTATGTAAACATGAGCAGGCAACCCCTGGTACATGTCACTGTGGTCTGTGTATGTAAACATGAGCAGGCAACCCCTGGTACATGTCACTGTGGTCTGTGTATGTAAACATGAGCAGCAGGTAACCTGTGGTCTGGTACATGTCACTGTGGACTGTGTATGTAAACATGAGCAGGCAACCCCTGGTACATGTCACTGTGGTCTGTGTATGTAAACATGAGCAGGCAACCCCTGGTACATGTCACTGTGGTCTGTGTATGTAAACATGAGCAGGCAACCCCTGGTACATGTCACTATGGTCTGTGTATGTAAACATGAGCAGGCAACCCCTGGTACATGTCACTGTGGATATGTAAACATGAGCAGGCAACCCCTGGTACATGTCACTGTGGTCTGTGTATGTAAACATGAGCAGGCAACCCCTGGTACATGTCACTGTGGTCTGTGTATGTAAACATGAGCAGGCAACCCCTGGTACATGTCACTGTGGTCTGTGTATGTAAACATGAGCAGGCAACCCCTGGTACATGTCACTGTGGTCTGTGTGTGTATGTAAACATGAGCAGGCAACCCCTGGTACATGTCACTGTGGTCTGTGTATGTAAACATGAGCAGGCAACCCCTGGTACATGTCACTGTGGTACTGTGTATGTAAACATGAGCAGGCAACCCCTGGTACATGTCACTATGGACTGTGTATGTAAACATGAGCAGGCAACCCCTGGTACATGTCACTGTGGTCTGTGTATGTAAACATGAGCAGGCAACCCCTGGTACATGTCACTGTGGTCTGTGTATGTAAACATGAGCAGGCAACCCCTGGTACATGTCACTGTGGACTGTGTATGTAAACATGAGCAGGCAACCCCTGGTACATGTCACTGTGGTCTGTGTATGTAAACATGAGCAGGCAACCCCTGGTACATGTCACTATGGACTGTGTATGTAAACATGAGCAGGCAACCCCTGGTACATGTCACTGTGATTATGTAAACATGAGCAAGCAACCCCTGGTACATGTCACTGTGGTCTGTGTATGTAAACATGAGCAGGCAACCCCTGGTACATGTCACTATGGACTGTGTATGTAAACATGAGCAGGCAACCCTAGTACATGTCACTGTGGTCTGTGTATGTAAACATGAGCAGGCAACCCCTGGTACATGTCACTGTGGTCTGTGTATGTAAACATGAGCAAGCAACCCCTGGTACATGTCACTGTGGTCTGTGTATGTAAACATGAGCAAAACATGAGCAGCAACAACATGGCAACCCTGTGTATGTAAACATGAGCAGGCAACCCCTCACATGTGGTCTGTGGTGTATGTGTACAAACATGAGCAGGCAACCCCTGGTACATGCAACCCCTGGTACATGTCACTGGGTCTGTGTATGTAAACATGAGCAGGCAACCCCTGGTACATGTCACTGTGGACTGTGTATGTAAACATGAGCAGGCAACCCCATGGTACATGTCACTGTGGTCTGTGTATGTAAACATGAGCAGGCAACCCCTGGTACATGTCACTGTGGTCTGTGTATGTAAACATGAGCAGGCAACCCCTGGTACATGTCACTGTGGTCTGTGTATGTAAACATGAGCAGGCAACCCCTGGTACATGTCACTGTGGTCTGTGTATGTAAACATGAGCAGGCAACCCCTGGTACATGTCACTGTGGTCTGTGTATGTAAACATGAGCAGGCAACCCCTGGTACATGTCACTGTGGTCTGTGTATGTAAACATGAGCAGGCAACCCTGGTACATGTCACTGTGGTCTGTGTATGTAAACATGAGCAGGCAACCCTGGTACATGTCACTGTGGACTGTGTATGTAAACATGAGCAGGCAGCCCTGGTACATGTCACTGTGGTCTGTGTATGTAAACATGAGCAGGCAACCCCTGGTACATGTCACTGTGGTCTGTGTATGTAAACATGAGCAGGCAGCCCTGGTACATGTCACTGTGGTCTGTGTATGTAAACATGAGCAGGCAACCCCTGGTACATGTCACTGTGGACTGTGTATGTAAACATGAGCAGGCAACCCTGGTACATGTCACTGTGGTCTGTGTATGTAAACATGAGCAGGCAACCCTGGTACATGTCACTGTGGACTGTGTATGTAAACATGAGCAGGCAACCCTGGTACATGTCACTGTGGACTGTGTATGTAAACATGAGCAGGCAGCCCTGGTACATGTCACTGTGGACTGTGTATGTAAACATGAGCAGGCAACCCCTGGTACATGTCACTGTGGTCTGTGTATGTAAACATGAGCAGGCAACCCTGGTACATGTCACTGTGGACTGTGTATGTAAACATGAGCAGGCAACCCTGGTACATGTCACTGTGGTCTGTGTATGTAAACATGAGCAGGCAACCCCTGGTACATGTCACTGTGGTCTGTGTATGTAAACATGAGCAGGCAATGTAAACATGAGCTGGTACATGTCACTGTGGTCTGTGTATGTAAACATGAGCAGGCAACCCTGGTACATGTCACTGTGGACTGTGTATGTAAACATGAGCAGGCAGCCCTGGTACATGTCACTGTGGTGTGTGTATGTAAACATGAGCAGGCAACCCTGGTACATGTCACTGTGGTGTGTGTATGTAAACATGAGCAGGCAACCCTGGTACATGTCACTGTGGTCTGTGTATGTAAACATGAGCAGGCAACCCCTGGTACATGTCACTGTGGACTGTGTATGTAAACATGAGCAGGCAACCCTGGTACATGTCACTGTGGTGTGTGTATGTAAACATGAGCAGGCAACCCCTGGTACATGTCACTGTGGTCTGTGTATGTAAACATGAGCAGGCAACCCCTGGTACATGTCACTGTGGACTGTGTATGTAAACATGAGCAGGCAACCCCTGGTACATGTCACTGTGAACTGTGTATGTAAACATGAGCAGGCAACCCTGGTACATGTCACTGTGAACTGTGTATGTAAACATGAGCAAGCAACCCCTTGTACATGTCACTGTGAACTGTGTATGTAAACATGAGCAAGCAACCCCTGGTACATGTCACTATGGACTGTGTATGTAAACATGAGCAAACAACCCCTGGTACATTAATATTCTGATTTGCAGTATTAATCCTTCAAGCTTATGCCTTGTTTTTTTGCTGTTAACAGATCGTGTGAACCTGATATATACTGAGGGAAACAAATAAGGGAGCACCACTTCATTGGAATTGTTCCTCTCTTCTCAGATTCGCACCCACAGTGCGATACAAAACTTGTGAAGAAACCTGGAAAAGAATAAAGGAACACTTGTGCTTTCATGTGTTCTCTTATTTGTTTCTCTCAGTATAATTCTGTTCATGGCCTTACTCTGTATTTGATGCAGAACACTAGAGGAACCCTTCATCATGCAAACAGGAGTTGAAAAGACGACATCCCTCAGGCGACATGTTCAGAAGGTGAAGGTCGTGACTGTTGGTGACATGGATGTAGGGAAAACATGCCTGACATTGAGGTTTATGAAGAATACATTCAACGAAGACAGTCGTGGCACTGTTGGTGGTAAGGCAGCGTTTTTCTATTTTATACTTGGCATTTTATACTTGTTATCTTTACTGTACCTCTTAAAGAGCATATCAGTCTATAACAATCTTTGAGTAAACAGCATAATACATTAGATTTGTTGATTAATTGTAGTTTAACGCCACCCTAGCAATGTTCCAGCTATATGGCGCATTGGCAGATCCAGGAATTGGGGTGGGGGTGGGGTGGGGTGGGGGTGGTTGTGTTTTTTGCCAACGCAACAAAAATCTTCAATGTGGTCTTAAGTCATTTTCCCCCCCCCCTCTCTGGATCCGCCAATGTGGCGGCTATCTGTTAACAATTGCGTCTGGACCAGACATTCCAGTGATTCACATCGTGAACATCGATCTACATGTGTCAACCAATATCCCAATTGAGTAGATCGATGCTCATGCTGTTGATCACTGGATTGTCTGGTCCAGACTCGATTATGTACAGACCGCCGCCATATCGCTGAAATATTGCTGAGCGTGGACTTAAACAACAAACAAAGCAAACTAAAATTGCTGTATTGATGTAAAGGATGATTTTAAGTGTGCACACTAGGCTGCGTATCTTCATAAATTGCGCAACTATTTATATGGAAACTCAATTCCTATTAAGTCTATTGCGTACAGATGCGCTTTAGTTTCTGTAAATACTCAAAAAATTTGATCTTACATGCGTACACATAAAATAGATAACAGAACTGTGGTAATATTGAGAGGTTCTATTTCAGCAAATGAACGAAGCAACTTGCAGTCTTTCTTATTGTTCATCATATTACAGATGAAATATATATAACAAACACGTAAACTAACATTTAAACTTTAATATATTTTTACAATTGGGGGAAAATTGCAAAATACCCAACTGAGTTTGAGTGAGGTGGGTACAAATTATGTGGTTACTCAAAGGACAATTAGGATACCCAACTGAGATGAACACAAGCGAGTACATAACTCAGTGACCCAAAAAGTTATCTGTAGCTCTGGGTATGTTTAAAACCAGCTGTGAAGGATATGGCACCAAATGAACACAAGGGAAAAAGAGCCCATAAAATGTCTATGTTATTGGGAATAGTTGGCTAATGTTGATTTCTGATGTGAAATCCATTATCAGTACATTTGGGAAGTATGAACACTGATACGTCGTATCCCAATGCTTATGATGCCAATCACTGGATCATTTGGTCCAGACTAAGTTACTTAGAGACCACCATCCTACAGCTGGAAAATTGCTAAGTTAGGCATAAACAACAAACAAAAAACTGAAACAGATTTTGAATATTTCAAATTATACATTTCTCTGAGAATTGTCGAAATTTATCAGTGGAAAGATTCAGTTGTGATTCTCATTGTGAGTAAATGCGACTTATGATCAGTTTTGTCTTTTTTCAGCTAGTTTCCTTGCTAAGGCTGTGGACATCCCAGACAAGACTGTTATATTTCAGGTGTGGGACACAGCAGGACAGGAGAGATTCCGTAGTCTTATCCCCATGTATCTCCGGGATGCCAAGGCGGCCATTGTTGTCTATGATGTCACAGACCTGGTGAGTGATATATCGAGCATATCATCCCCAGCTCAGAAAGAGTCACGGGGGGATATAACTTTGAACTTGTTCCTGATGATCTGTCTGTCCATCACTCATTGGCGGTTAGGGTAGCCTAGTGGTGAAAGTGTTCTCTCTTCAAGACCCAAATTCGATTCCTCACATGGGTACAATTTGTGAAGCCTGTTTCTGGTGTCCCTGAAGTAATATTGATGGAATATTGCTAAAAGCGGAGTAAACCAAACCCATCTTCCCGAGGCAAGGGAGATAACTTACTGTAAACGTCAAATTCCTCAGTAACCCTTGATGATTTAGCCAGAAATTTTGGAGTGATGGGCCTAGTGACTTCTAATGCTTTGGGGTTTGGGAAAGAAATATTTTTCCAAGTTTCCATGACAGCACCAATGATTTAGCCTGAAAATATCACTAGTAAGCAAATTGTCAAAACAGTTGAATATTGTTTCCCCAAATTTGACATGAAGATACATCTAGTAGTGAATTGGAGACTTTATAGTTTGAAATGTTTGAAGGAATATTTTACTTGTTTCCCTTGCAACAACTTTGAAAACTGAAAATGACAGTAGTGCTTGTTTCTGGAGCAGTTATTAAATTATTCAATATCTTGCCAAACGTGGCACATAAATAGGTACAGTAATATGCTGGTGCAGTTTGATGGTTTGGAATATTTGAAATATTTATTTGGTTTCACTTTCCTGCCATAAAATGTTTTTTCACCAAACCACCAAACTTGGCATATAGATAGATCAAGTGGTGAACAGGTGACTTTCAATAGCTTGGGACTTATTACACAAACATTTTACAAGTTTCTGGGACACCACAATTCATGTATGTGTATTCATGATAACTATTTACTGTTGTGGAGGATATACCGAAATACTGCTAACAGTGTACCTGTGAAGATCCGTGTTAGAATTGATCTTCAGCAACCCATGCTCATCATAAGAGGCGACTAACGGGATTGGATGACCAGACTCACTGGCTTGGTTGACACATGTCATTGTGCAGATCAATGCTCATGCTGTTGATCACTGGATTGTCTGTTCCAGACTCAATTATTTACAGACCTCCGCCATATAGCTGGGAAATTGCTATTAAGTGCTATTAGTGAGTGCGGCATTAAACAACAAACCAACCACCCAATATGAAATATTCCACAAGAGTGTTGAGTATTTTTGTATGTTATTAAATGGAACATTAGACATGCATAAGTAATGAAGTTGTAGTTTCAACTGATTCGAAATTAAAATAATTATCACATATCAAGAATTTTGTGACATTTGATTATATTTGCATGGTGTTCTACTGGTGTTTTGAAAGGTGAGTGAACACGTATTAGGCACCTCACTTTGAGATGGTTACCTGTTATTAGCCCTTCAAGGGTAATCTTAATTCCACTGATACTTGCAGGAATCATATAAAAACATCAAAGGTCACTGGCTACAGATGCTTCACAAACACGGACCCACCGATATTCGAGTAGCCATTGTCGGCAACAAGATAGACAAGATGTCAGAGAAGGTTGTACCCACAAAGGTGAGTGAAGGCAAACAGGGTAGTGTCAAGGAGTAAGGGACTGATCATAATTATGACTAGGGTGGATGATGATGATTTTTATGGAGAAGCATGTACAATGAGAATGCCCCCGCAACATTTATGTACAAAGTAAGTGCCCCCCCCTGTCATGTACAAAATCAATTATCCCCCAACTTCCCATAATTTTTAAGTATAATTTTTAAATATTTATATGTACAATATTGATGATCCCCCTACCTCCCTAGAACAAAATGGGTGCCCCAGCCCCCCTTAAACTTAAAATCAACATTACCCCCCTCCCCCAACACCTCACCACTAGCCATAAATTATGAAATTATTTTCCCTAATATAGATTATAGAGATGCTGTGTGCGCAATGGTGTAGGATGAGTGTTGGTGGAGAAGGTTCGTGTCCATATTGATGTTGGTGGAGATGCACTTGGTCTGAGGGGGGCAGTGGGGTAGCCTAGTGGTTAAAGCGTTCGCTCGACATGCTGAAGACCCGGGTTCGAATCCCCACATGAGCACAATGTGTGAAGCCCATTTCTGGTGTCCCCCGCCGTGATGATGCTGGAATATTGCTAAAAGCGGCGTAAAACCAAACTCAGGCAGTCAGTCAGTAAAGCGTTCGCTCGACATGCTGAAGACTGGGGTTCGATTCCCCACATGGGTAAAATGTGTGAAACCCATTTCTGGTCTCCCCTGCCGTGATATTGCTGGAATATTGCTAATAGCAGTGTAAAACCCAACTCACTCACTCACTCAAAGTCTGAGGATCTTTGTTTGGTAAAAGGATGGAACTCATACTATTTGGGGATGACCAGGCCAATGGACCAAGCATACAGCCTTCATTTAAGTATGATGAATAACCCATAGGCTGTTCTTCAGTTAAGTGCCATATACACTTAAATTAACCTGTGACATATTACTTTACCATGAACCATTTATGACCTTCTTGACTGTTACAGGAAGCTCAGAAATTTGCTGAGGATCACAGGTTTCTTTTCATAGAGACATCAGCTCTCACAGGAGCCAACGTAGAAAAACTCTTTTATGATGTTGGTAAGTGGCACCATTTATAACAGCATCTTTGTTCTCGGTAACCCAGTCAAATAATCTTAGCTTTACAAGCAAACTACAAGCAAAATAGTACTTTACAGTTCAGTACCAGTAGTACAACAAAGGACTGGGCTTACTCATGGAGCAACACCTGGAATCTTTGGAGAATTCTTTATGATTTATAGTGGAATCTTTGGAGAATTCTTTATGATTTATAGTGGAATCTTTGGAGAATTCTTCATGATTTATAGTGGAATCTTTGGAGAATTCTTTATGATTTATAGTGGAATCTTTGGAGAATTCTTCATGATTTATAGTGGAATCTTTGGAGAATTCTTCATGATTTATTTGGAACTTCCATTGATGTCATTTGAATTAGGTCTCATGTCAAGCAGGAGAATCTGTGTCCAAACTACACATTATGTCGTAAAGGGTTTAATCTCCAAATCATCATCATGAAGCAGGAGCAGTTATGTTTGTTAAGAAAACCAACACTTTTTAGCATACATTTCTAAGTCTACAGTGCTGGAGGTATTATTTGCTAATTGGTAACCGTAGCTAAACCGATCTCAAAGATAAGCCGAGGTTAAAAATAATATTTATTCTAGCTGGCCTATTGCCCCTGTACACCCAGCAGAAAATGGGTACCTGGTGGGATAAGTCATATGACTATTAACCTTTTAGGCAGCTTGGATTATATAGCTTAATATTGTCGATTATGTCGTGAGCATTTAGCGAATGCCTCTGCGACATGGCTATAACAATGGCTTTATTACTATTGCATGTCAATAACTATCTACTCACAGTACTTTCGGACCCGTGAAGATCTGGGTTAGAATTGATCTTTAGTAACCCATGCTTGTCGTAAGAGGCGACTAAAGGGATCGGGTGGTCAGGCTCGCTGACTTGGTTGACACATGTCATCGGTTCCCAGTTGCGTAGATTGATGCTCATGCTGTTGATCACTGGATTGTCTGGTCCAGACTTGATTATTTACAGACCGCCGCCATATAGTTGGAATATTGCTGAGTGTGGCGTAAAACTAAACTCACTCACTCACAGTAATTTCATGATGTAGTTTTAGGCTGTGGGAAGCACTCTGGTTTGTTTACACATTAATTTCTTTAATTTATGGACCAAGAACATTTCCATGCCTTGCCCACGCCATGTTTCAGCCCATCTTCTGGGAGATACTCTAGATGACGAGGTTCCCAGTCGAGATAGTACAGAACTGAATGTGCAGCTCTCCGATGAAGTTCCTCCACTTGTAAAGAGCAGGAAGAAGTGCTGTACTCATTTGTGATGCTGGCTCAAATCATGTTGTGGTACATGCCCACCTTCAGGTAGATTGTTATTATGAAGGTGGATAGAGTAGTAAACACAGTTTAACATACTCACATGTGGTGTGGTCAAACTCTGCTGTGTTGAAGTTGACCAGACCTATGTAAATAATTTCAGGTATCCGAGTCTGGTCACAACAGAAACCTATGGTTAAATACGTGGGTCCAAACTTCTACTTTGAGATATCCATAGGCTTCACACTTCAAAGTTTGACACTGCAGTGTTAGTGTGTATGTATGTATCTTTCCAAACTAGCTTCTGTAGGAGATAATGCTACAATGAAATTGTACCATAGTGCTAGCCTCAACAGTTGATATCGATACAATGAAACTGTACCATAGTGCTAGCCTCAAGAGTTGATATTGATACAATGGAATTGTACCATAGTGCTAGCCTCAACAGTTGATATCGATACAATGAAACTGTACCATAGTGCTAGCCTCAAGAGTTGATATCAATACAATGAAACTGTACCATAGTGCTAGCCTCAACAGTTGATATCGATACAATGAAACTGTACCATAGTGCTAGCCTCAACAGTTGATATCAATACAATGAAACTGTACCATAGTGCTAGCCTCAACAGTTGATATCGATACAATGAAACTGTACCATAGTGCTAGCCTCAACAGTTGATATCGATACAATGAAACTGTACCATAGTGCTGGCCTCAACAGTTCATATCGATACAATGAAATTGTACCATAGTGCTAGCCTCAACAGTTGATATCGATACAATGAAATTGTACCATAGTGCAAGCCTCAACAGTTGATATCGATACAATGAAATTGTATCATAGTGGTAGCCTCAATAGTTGATATCGATACAATGAAATGCTATCTTCAGCTGGAGATATCACAACAATTAAATTGCATCATAAAATGCTGTTTTCACAAGAGATATCGCCACAGTGAAATTGTATGATAATGCTAGCCTCCACAGGAGATATCACCACAATTGAATTGTATCACAGTGCTTAGAATGATGGAGATATCACTACAATGAAATTGTATCACAATGCTTCTTCAAAGCCTGCACAGGAGATATCGCTACAATGGAATTGTATCACAGTGCTTAGAATGATCTTCAACTGGAGATATCGCTACAATGAAATTGTATCACAGCACTATCTTCAACTGGAGATATCGCTACAATGAAATTGTATCACAGCGCTATCTTCAACTGGAGATATCGCTACAATGAAATTGTATCACAGCGCTATCTTCAACTGGAGATATCGCTACAATGAAATTGTATCACAGCGCTATCTTCAACTGGAGATATTGCAATGATCAAAGTACATCTCCAGTGACAGGAGAGATTACAACAATGAATTTCCGTCACAATGCTATTGTTTACAGCAGATATGGCCCAAGTGAGGTTATATGACAATGCTTTGCAGCCCATCCTGTCATCAGTTTAATGAAACTTACTTCACTTTGTTATAAGATAACTTTATTAACATAAATGCCCTTCTTGTCAAGGAGGAACTCAAACCTAAAATAAATGAGAGTTATCTCCCCTATATGTGTAACAACAGCTTCAATGACCTCATCAACTGACATCACTAGTCTGCCGCTGAATTGGTTCAGATGTACCTTGTGAGAAACAATACTGAGCTATATCTTGTAATACCTATAGCTGTTGGTAGCAATGTGCAATTATAATGTTACCTTTTTATACCATACATACAAAAATGAAAATTAACGTAACACGAAACCAAAGTTAACCTTGCTGCAATCAAATGACAATTAGTCAAACTGAGGGTATATATATCTGTATTCATATATCTGTATACATTTTTCAGGTCATATTGACATTTTTACAGCATATGACAATGTTTTAGATATTTTGCCCTTCATTGAGTGTATCAAAAGTTTTAATACTTCAGTATGCTGCATTTAATAAGAACATGATTGTAACGAATGGTGGATATAATGAACTGCTGTTTGGTCCTGACAGATTCCTGTTTATTCGAGTCAATATGCGTATATGGTGAACTATGGCTAGATTTGAACTAGAATTAGTGGTGCCTCTGTGTTTGTTATAACAGTATTCTGTATGTACAACAACGAAATCTATTTTTTTCCTCCACAATTTTCTCATTTTCTAATTGCTAGATGTTTTAGAGCTACATGTGATTTGTAATTGTCTTGTACATAATACACAATGACTTCTAGAAATGTAGTGAGTGAGTTTAGGTTTACGCAGCTTTTAGCAATATTCCTCTGCACTAGCATCCTTACGAAAAGGCTATTGACAGTCAGTTTTGTTTAAATGTACATATGTAGTTATTAGTTGTCTTGCCATTAGTGTTCCTTTTGTGTCAATATTTTACATTTTATCTTTTTTTTAATTTTTACTTTTTCGACAATGCTTTTAATATTTATCTGTGTATTGTGTAGTTTAGTCTGTGGATCTCTGAAATTGACAGATGGAGGTCAAGATCCAAATTACATTTATGACATCACTTGTTGAAATTATTAAGATATTAGAGTTATTACTGTTAACCTTTGGTCCTCAGAAAAGCCAGAAAAAATGAATGAGAATTCTTTCATTTAACTTTGGTTAAATGTCTGTATATGTTGACTATTCTGGCCTCCTGACAACATGTTCACAAGAGTTTCTGTACTGTTGCAATATGATTTTAAGAGATGGGCTATCTAGGTTTGGTACATTCTCTTCCCACAGAGGTTACTTGTCATATCTTCCTATGAACCTCTGTCCTAATACGGCCATATTTCCCGGTTCTCATAAAATCCCCTAGCGGCAAAAAATCGCAACAAGAATTATTTCCTTTCTTTTTATCCAATCAGAACATGTGATACATCGACTTAGATCCAACTTGACTGATGCAAGTGAAAATGGGGCCACAAATATCTCTCTTCTCTGCCGGGATTTCTGTTGATGTGACACACAAGACATTTAATGGCAACTTGTCCGTTGTCCTCGAGGTCCAGCAGTACATGACTGAGTTCTGTCTAGAAGAAACGTTTGCGCATTGCTCAGGGGAAGAGGTTTTAGTTTTCCCGAAGCATACGGATATTACAGAGGCTTTGCAAAGGATCACTTTTGAAACAACGTCGCTGATTGCACAACTAAATCTGATTGCAACCAATATCGACTCTTGAACACTCACACCATGAAAGGGCCGTATTAGAACAGGTTCGTAGGAAGATATGACAAGTAACCTCTGTGGGAAGAGAATGGGTTTGCTAGTCAATTTCAGATTTTTGTAGTCAAGGGTTTTCATTCTTCCAAATACAAGTAGAAAGTTGTTATTTGTGAGGAAATATATATATAAATTTTACTACCAAATTAGGGGTGTAAATCAAACAGGTTCCTGTTGGTGGCTCCGACAAGTGACCACAAGCAAGACAAAACATTAAATACTTCCTAGAAACAAAAAAATCAGGTCCGGGTTAGAATTGATCTTCAGTAACCCACGCTTGTCGTGAGAGGCGACTAACGGGATCGGGTGGTCAGACTCGCTGACTTGACTGACACATGTCATCGTATCCCAATTGTGTAGATCGATGTTCATGCTGTTGATTCCTGGATTGTCTTGTCCAGATCCGATTATTTACAGACCGCTGCCACATAGCTGGAATAAAACTAAACTCACTCACTCACATTGTATGGTCAGGCCCATGTGTCATGTGTTAATCATTGTACATGCTGCAAGAATCCACCATGCAGAGTTGAATCAGGCTAATTAGTAATATATGAGTAATCCACACCAAAACGTATCTGAAGATATGTTAGAGTCCTAGATTTGAAGTGAGTATGATTTCTTATTTGATTTGAAGTGAGTATGATTTCTTATTTGATTTGAAGTGAGTATGATTTCTTATTTGATTTGAAGTGAGTATGATTTCTTATTTGATTTGAAGGGAGTATGATTTCGTATTTGTTAGCACCATATGTATGCTTGGGGTTTCATTAAAGTTGTTATCATGTGACACCAGCATCATTTCAGTCCTCCTTTCCTCATCCTCAACCTACCGTGATATAACTGTAATACTGGTCAAAACCAATAGAAACAAAATGCTTATGCATGTTTAAAGCATCTTAACTGCATCACTTGAATTTCTGTGACTAGAAACAAATTGTAATGTAAATTTGAATTTCTTTTATTATTTTCTACCCCCATATGAAGCAAAGACATTTGATTTCATTTCTGAAAGTTTGCTTCTGATGAAGTAAAAACAGCATCAAAATATTCTGAAAACTAAATAAATGGAGCTTCTTTTCACATTTCAAAGGACCAAAGAGATTTGAACATGTTTTTAGACTATTAGACAAATGTCCTTGGCTTTTGAGGAATTAAAGAAAGATATTACTTTTTAACTCACCAGCAGCAAAAATCTGACTTTTTTGTTGTTGTTTTATTCCAGATAAAAAGCTGTTGCATGTAGAGGTCTGGGCCCAGGTTACCAATGGACCCCTTAATAGCATAATGTCACATTACATTGATCTGGATATTTTTTTAAAGAATTACAAAACTACACACACAGAGACATCCACTAATACATGATGAAATATTGGTTGTAGTTTTCAACAATCTATTATTTTAGAAAAAATCCCAACATTCTGTTGACTGATCCCTTACAAGAAAATTAAAGATTAAATACACTAGTAATTTAAGGAATTTATTACCACTCAAAACGCTTATGATAAATCATCCAATTTTGATAAAACTTGAGTTAAATCTGAGGTTTTGACTACTTAGTCTCCATGTGCTTTATTGTCCTTATGACTTCATGGTGTGAGTTCATTTTCTGCTGATTCTTAATATCGTGTCATTCAGATCTGAATTATGGCATTTTAATTCTTAAAAGTAATATTTCGCCCAGTACTTGTCAATTTGTTTATTTTGGATAGCTTTGTTTAATTACTCTCCTGACAAACTCAAGTAATACTGTGTTTAGTGCATGTATCATAAATAAAACCAGTGGCATTATAATGCTGATATATATGTGGTTATACATATAAAGCCTGTGCTTCATATGATCATTACATGTCATTGTGTGTATGAATTATGTGACATTAAATGTGTGTGGTTAGTAGGAATAGTGCATATATTAAATGTGTGTGTTACATACATATAATTCATAAGTAGCATACACACATCAAATTTGTGTGTTTCATATAAATATTACATGTATAAATTGTATATCTATAATTCATATGCAGGTAACACAATAACTATGTGCATTTCATATAAATATTACACATTTCAAATGTGTATATTACATAGGTATAATTCATGTGTAGGATATACTTATCTAATGAATGTGTTTCTTATGACTATGAAACATGAAAGGTCTATATTTCCTATATAAAATTCACATACAATTAACACATATTAAATGTGTGCATTTCATAAGAATATTACTGTACACATTTAGAATGTGTATAGTACACACGTAAAATTTATACGTAGTTGGTTCGTTGGTTTGTTATTCTACGATGCTCTCAGCAATAGTTCAGCTGTATGGTAGCGGTGTGTACAATAATCAAGTCTTGGCCATACGTAGGTTAAACATATTAATTATGTGTGTTTATTATAAATGTAACACATATCAAACATGTATAACCCATATGTAACATTCATATGTAGGTAGCACACATTAAATACATTCCCTTCATTTGAATGTTGTATATTTAATACTAGTAAGTACAATACATGTATATGATTCATATTGATGTTTTACTTATTAAAGATATGCACTTCATTTGAATGTCATATATACCAAGTGTGTATTATGTAATGATCATATGTATATAAAACATTAAATTTGCCACTTCATTTAATGTGTATATTACATATGGCACTGAAATATGTCATAAAAGTTGAGTTATGTTATGCTCTTTATTAAGATATGTTTCAATTGAGAAAAAGCAGTTGTTATTATCATACAACTGGGATATACTAAATGAGAAATTTAGTCACACTTCCTTACCTCTTTCTCATGTGCACTCAGGAATTAATTAACCAACTTAATTTCACATAACGTTTTTACCCATGTGTTTTAGCCGTAATGTATATTTTTGTGAGGAAAATGTTTTGTTGAAAATAGGTCATGTCAAGGGTGAGTGAGTGAGTTTGGTTTTACGCCGCTTTTATTATATTCTAGTAATATCAGCATGGGACATATTCTATATTTATATAGAATGATGCATCTTATTACACCTATCAAAATGAGTGAGTATGTGTTTTCGCCGCTTTTAGCAATATTCCAGCAATATCGCTGCGGGGGACACCAGAAAAGGGCTTCACACATTGTACCCACGTTGGGAATGGAACCAGGTCTTCGATATGACGAGGGATGGCTTTAACCACTAGGCTACCCCACTGCTCCCTCATGTCAAGGGCATGCTTTCAAGAGTATGAACCTCACCTACAATGCTGACAACCATACTCACAGAAACATGTAGCACCATTGTTAAATGGTAAATGTAAAGAGTATGTTCTGCCTTAATTTCTACAGTGACCAATATTCTGAAATATCAGATAATGAAGAATGATTGACTTGACTCCTACGAGACAGGACTGTGTATGTGCATTTTGATCAATCAACTTCAGTAATGTTGGTATATTTCAGATTTTGTGTATATTTCTTAATGATCTTAAAAACTGTTATGGAAATATAACGTAGCATTGCATGACCGTTTGTACATCTAGGTATCACAGATGTTTAATGTTATATTGTAGTGAGTGAGTTTAGTTTTTCTCAGCAATATTCCAGCTACATGGCTGCAGTCTGTAAATAAGCGAGTCTGGACCAGACAATACCATGAACAACCACATGAGCTTCGATTCGCAATAGGGATTCTATGACATGTGTCAACCAAGTCAGTTGCCTCTTACGACAAGCATGGGTTACTGAAGATCAATTCTATCCCGGATCTTCACGGGACAATGTCATATTGTAAAACCTTACTAGGGTTTATGTTTGTGTTTGTGTCAATGATTCATCTATTCTTAAACAATGAAAATATGATTAAATGCATTTTTTACTTTTTCACTTTGTGACGTGTCATTATTCGTATCTGATAGTCTTGATAGTCTATGGTTCATAACGCGTTCGAACATTTTGACGTGCATACGTTTTTCACGAGACTGCTTTTGAAGTCTTTGAATGACATTTAGAGGGACAGAGCCTATTCTTACATCTGAATCAGATCGTCCGAGGAAATGCCTGATGAGTGAGTGAGTAAGTTTACGCCGCTTTTAGCAATATTCCAGCAATATCACGACGAGGGACACCAGAAATGGACTTCACACATTGTACCCATGTGGGGAATCGAACCCGGGTCTTCGGCGTGACGAGCGAACGCTTTAACCACTAGACTACCCCACCGTCCCAATTCCTGATGAAGGTGTAAGTATGTACTATGTGATCCTCATACTAAAGAAGTTGACATGCATACAGTTTGCACCTATATTCTTGAAGAGACTTAAATAATGACGTACTACGTCCACGTCCACAGGGAAACACCTGAAAATTCCGAAACACGAAAAAACACAAAAGTGTTCTTTCTGATCGTTTAGGCCAAGACTTGATGTGAGGGCTTCACATTAGAAACAAATGTTTGACTCAATGTGCCTGATGCCTCCACGCTACGAGCAATCCGTAAATGTATTCTAGGGAACGTAGTAAATGCACTCAGTGCCTGAACTGACAGCGTTTTCGGTTTCCAGAATTATATTGTGACGTGTTTTTGATACAATTGCCCGTGTTTTGCATGTGCTTATTGCAGGTGTCATCGGTAGGGCGAGATACAGCCATTACCTCAAAATCACTTCTTGGTATCACCACTGTTTCCTAACGATTCGCATTGTCAGTCGAATCCATAATTATAGATAAAGTTACTTAATACACTAGACCTTTAAATTACCACTGCACGTATAGTCACCAGGAAGAAGTCTTCACACATTATACCAGTTCTTATATCACTGCATTGACTTAATGTACAAGCAAGAGTTCAATTCAGAATTTTGACACTTGTCCAGAAATGCTATCATCAGTCAGGTCCTATATTTTAATGATCTCATTCACAAAAATGTACCATTGAGATCACTTCGACCTGCCGACCAGCATCTACTTGAAGTACCGAAGTACAATCTGAAAAAGTTTGGATATAGATCCTTTGCCTACTTGGCTGCCACTTCATGGAACCCGTTACCTCTTCAAACCAAGGAGGCAGAATCCCATGACATTTTAAGTGCAGTGGCTACAGTTTGTTTGTAGTGCCATGATTAAGCACTCTGTGCCTGGAGTTTGACGCAGTATAACTGCACATATTATTATTATTATTATTATTATTATTTTGTTTTTCAGATTAAGATAAATATGCAGCAGAGAGGGTTATGGTGATTCTGGCACAGTCAGGCTGGTAAGGCTCATCATCAGCTCAGGGACCTCCTGTATTGTATCAATTACGACATCCCTACTGGTGTAACGTTTTACGGCAGTTAACGACATTATAATCACTTACGCCACCACGTTGTGTTTGTCACATGGTGTCAGAAGTGCGGGACATGTAAATCGCCAAACGTTAGTGAAAGACTTTCAAAAGTGAATCACAAGAAGCGGAAAGTCAGAATAATGGCCGGAAGCAATAATCCGAGCATGAACTGGCAAGTTGCCGACCTAGACAAGGAGTGGAAACGGTTCAAACAGCACTGTGAGTTTACGGATCGCGGACCGCTCGCTTCAAAATCTGAAATAGAAAAAGTGAACTATCTTATGACATATATAGGTGAAAAAGGTAGGGAAATCTATCTTACATTTACGTGGAGAGCTGCAACTGACACTGCTCCTGCGGAAAATGACACTTTAGATTTTTGCGAAATACTCCACATGTGGCACCAAAGAAAAATCAAATTAGAGCTACTGTAAACTTCAACAGGAGAAAAAAAGAAGCAACTGAGAAATTTGATAATTTTGTCACATATCTGAGAATACTAGTTCAAGACTGTGAATATACAGATGAAGAAAGAATGTTGAAAGATGCTGTTGTACTTCGTTCATTGCATGCAGCAGTGCGTGAAAAGTGCTTAGAGAGAGGAGATGAACTGACATTAGAGACTGATATTACGATAGGACAGAACCATGAAACTTCACAGGATAATTTGAAAATAATATCAGATGAAGATCCAACTGTAAACAAGATACATTCTAGAAAGCAAGGTCATTGCAGTGACAAAACAAAACATAGCCCAAAACCAAATCAGAGTAGACACAGAAAGCAAGAAGAAAAAATGTGGAAAATGTGGATATCACAAACCACATAAAAAGTGTCCAGCCAAACACAAACAATGCAATATCTGTCGCAAATATGGACATTTTGGAACTATGTGTAAAAGCGCTGGTAAAGCAAATGCAATTTGTGAAGAAGAAACAGAAAGTAGTGACCCTGACAACATGGCACATCTGATCAATAGAATTTCAGATGGTGGGGAAGAGGATTGGTTCGAGCACATTGAGGTGAATGGATAAACTTTGAAATTTCAAATTGACACAGGTGCAAACAGGTGTATAATTCTGTTCGAAGCATTTCAGAAGATGAATATCAAGGAACCACTTATGAAGACTGATCGTAAATTCAGGTCCTTCACACACCACCCAATCCCCATGGAAGGATGTATCACACTACAAACAAAGTACAAAGGTCAGACAACGGGTATCACTTACTACATTGCACATGTAAAACAGAAACCTCTACTATCAGGGAGTGCCTGCCAAAAGTTGGGTCTGATCCAAAGGATTCACAAGATCAACAAAGGGATTGACAAGTACCCAGAGTTGAAAGAAACGTCAACACTAATTGGCACATACGCCCCTTGCAACTGTGAAGTCACCCCAGAAGTGTGAAATCGCCCCTGACAACGCTGACGTCTGCCCCTACAACGCTGACGTCACCCCCAGCAAGTGTACCGAGTGTTGTGACCAGAAGTGGTCGCACAAGCAAGGCGCCAAAGAAACTTGATCTTTAATTGTTAATCATAATGATTCATGGACTATAAATGATAGTTGCTGGAGTTTAAGTTCTAGTCATCCTGATGAAAGGAAAGAGACTTTTAATTTATGTTTTAGATTCCGTCCATCCTTGAGAAAGGATAAAGACTTTCATTTAATTTTTAAGTCTTAAAGAAGTTTTTATACTTTTAGTAAAGAAAGGGAGATGTAACGTATCAATTACGACATCCCTACTGGTGTAACGTTTTACGGCAGTTAACGACATTAAAATCACTTACGCCACCACGTTGTGTTTGTCACGGATCCCTCTACACGCAGCCCAGACAGCCAATGGGACTTCTCCCAGGAAACGCTGCCGAGGTACCAAACCAAGGGCACCGAGAACAATGGGGAGCCTGACGACAGTGTACTTGGGATGCAAGCGAGACATTTCAAAGGCGAGGTCCGCATACTTAGCATGCTTTTTCTGAAATTTGCTGAAACAAATTCACTGGCTGGAATTCTTCGGAGGCTGTATATGGGGCCTATTCTGAGGCTGTATAAAAGCATCATTTTCCATGACGCCCTGGACATGTTCAGGGTCGTACCATGGATGGACCCCGGAGTCAAATCCACAGTCATGGCGAAGACGGTAGTAGAAGCAACGAGCCATGCCATCATGTCGTTTAAGACATGACATGGTATTGGACAGTCTCTGTAAATTAATTGCAAAGTCGAATTGTTACCTGCAACGTTTCTGCTCAAGCCGGTAAACACATGCAATAATAATCTATTTCATTTCACATTCATTTCAAGTGATCTACACCTGACAACAGAAACCTTCACCAACTTTCACTTCTTCTGTTCAGAAAGATGAACACATCATTAGTGA